GAGTTGTTTCGCCTCTTATTCCCCCATACGTAGTTGCATCTGTTCATCGTCGGCCCGCGCCGGCGCCGCTGGTTCCGCTGTGAGGTGGATGCAGTGAAGCGCGGAATTGCGCTATTAGGCTTCTTGCTCCCCCTTTTCAAGCCCCCCCTCCCCTCCCCCTTCTCGGCTCGCAGAGCTAAATAATGTGGTGCTGCCAGGTCGAGCGGCGTTGTTCTCCGCCATATTGTACGAAGTGTTGTTATTGGATATATATCCGATATGTGTTTGTGTCTTTGTCCGAGGCTCGATCCGAGCCCGGGTCAGCTGAACTCGTTGGCGAGTGGACCGGTGGAGTCGGAGCTTGTGCACGGCCGGGGCGCGAAGGTGCTCCCGGCTGAACTTATTGATAATAATATCCGCTGAGTGCAGTTGGCGCTATATAGGGGCTGATTCTGGACGGCGCCGGCAAGCCGATAGCGAGCTCTTTCGATAGCGTAGTCTTGTGAAACGATCGATCGTATTCGAGAGGAGCGAGGATCCAGCTCTTAATTCCGCCCCGTCCTGTCTATCTCGTGCTCACCCTGCATAACGTGCACCGCCAAAGCGGGAAGAGCTGCTCACCGGTGATGGTGTCGGAATCGTTGCGCACCACATCGATTCATTCATTCGGTCGCCGCGGGATCCGTTCGACAGTCTCTCCGTCGCGTTAGGTGTCTCCGATCGGTTGGCGAGCCGGAAAGCCCGGCGAACTTCATTCGATTTCCGACCAGCTCATTCAGTAATCCTCTAAGAGCAGAGGTGGATACAATCCAATTTGGTCCGACATCGGGTCATGATTGAATCAACGATATCAACAAGCCGCCGACGAGCGGGAGGCGGCGACCACTGCTTCGATGTACAATAACAACGCTTGCAGCCCCTTCTACCACCGCCAGCAGCAGTCCATTCACCGCGGCTACTTTAGGCCTCAGCGGGCTGGCCGAGCAAAATCTAAAGCGGATACGATGGGGAGATGTTCGACACGCCTCGGGCAACTACAACGAGGACGATTCCGCTGCTAACAATTGGTACCAAATGATACCAAGCGGCTAGCGATGATGCCGCACGGGGCGGCGACCACTTCGAGGGACCTAGACCACCGACTCCCTTTTCGAACTCATCCCACCGCTGCCACAAAACGTCTCACACTCTGAACGGTGACACACAGGGCTCGGGCAGCTCGGGCTTCTCCGACGCGGCGCCGCGTCGGAAGTTTAATCCATATGTTTTAGGTGGACAATTTCGGTCCCCAGGAGAGTCGTTGCGGTCGCTCGCCCGGCCATCAAGTGTCATGAAACGCTCCCGCGGCTGCAATGATGACGACGCTGACCAAATGTCTTTCGTTTAGGGGTATAAGTCGGAAGCCCCGCTCCCCGGCGTCGTCATACTCGAGCTACACAACAGACTTACGCGACTCGCTGGCTCCAAGAACTTCTTCCCTCGACCGATCCGAGACGGCGGAATCGGTCGGAATTCAAGGCTCCGCCCTCGCCCACATCGAAAGGTTTCGCGTGCCGGAGGAGAACCTTGAGAACTCAATCGAGAGCGAAGTATCTCGTCCGTATCGCTCGATCAGGCACTCGGGAGACCGAAAGAAAATGAAGAGGCATCGAACGAGTACCTCCCATACATCGAACCTCATATACCTAGTTCGAAAATGACGCAATGTGAACTTTGTCTGCGTGATGCTAGTTTGCCCTTTTGCTGCTCCTCATTCTTATGGCGCAAAAAATGAGAAAGCCATTCTGCAAACTAAAAAAGATTTCTCGACGCCGAATGTTAGGTACTAGACTGGAGGCCGAAGAGATGCGGGAAGTCTTGACGCGAATTTCTCTCGTGAAGAACTCCTCCCCGAACTGCGATGTTCGATGTTTCCCGCTCAATTCCCCCGTCTGTCTGGAGTGGACGAAAATCCGCAGTGGAACGGAGAGACGGTGCGGGCGGAACAGCGCAAAAGGCAAATGAGACTCCGGGGAGGGAGGAGAGTTTGCTTGGCCCCGCGCCAAGTCGGAAACCCGAAAGAGCTTTAGTCCCGAAGTAACCTGCTATGTCTCCTCAGAAACTTTCCCCGGGACCGACTGACTGACCAACCAACCAACCAACCTCGAGCACTAGGCTCCATGATGAATCCATGGGGAACGAATGGGACACTCCCGCGCATACACTGACCGAGGGAGCTTGTCACGGGCGGTCACATGGGGCTCGGACGTGGACTATCGAAAAGGAAAACGCAAAAACAATCGCTACCGAAACGCGGCGCTGCCCCCTTGTGGCCATCTGTAGAGATTAGGGAACAGCCATGAAATCTCTAACGACCCGATGTCGTCCTCTCGAGTCCGAGGTCTTTGGAATGATTCATAGTAGCTATAAAGCTTTTATCGAGCTTTTTCTTCAGATGGGCATTAATAAAGAAGGTTGTAAAGCTCTCCAGCCCAACGGACCGAGCATTTTGTTAACTCACGGGCCATTTTTCTTGCTCGACCCACTCCGCTCACTCCATTGGCTCAGTCTCGTTTTCTCGGATGAGACTCGTACTCGTATTCAACGGTCACGAGTCATCTCGGGAGCTATCACGCTTCCACTCGGCGCTCGAAATAATTACTTGAGGTTGTAAAGTTCAACGGATTGATTCAGTCAGCTGAACTCTATCTAAACGAAACAGGTCGGTCTTTTTCGTTGGGGCGGATTCGCGCTGTTTCGTGCTCCCCACCGCTGCTGGCTTTGGTCCCATCGGCGTTTATTATTGAGGAAAATAAAAAATAATCACTCGAAAATCCTCGGCGTGGAACATTTTCCTCGATTTCGATGAACGGTGGGGGATGATGAGAATCTGGGATAGATATCAATCGGGTTCGAATGATCTGCTCACAACAGAAAAGCCATCAGACCTATTCCGTTTAGAGAAAAATCGAAGATGTCCGAGGAAGGGATTCGGTGTCTGGGACTCATCTCGGAGACGAGAGCCCCCGAAGCTTCGGACATAGCTTCCTTCGGAGAAATCTCTCGTTGACGAATCCCGGAGCGTGTCCGTGGGCTGGTCTGTCTTTTTAGTTTTTCCCTTCAATCTCCAAAATGCGGTTCAGCTCCTCGGCCAGCCTCACCTCTGACGTTTCAGCAGCTGCTGCTGGTGGCTACAGACGTAGGAGGCCAGCTGGATTATTTCTCGTTCAGTGAGTGCCAAGAGATTTAGAGGGAGCGGAGATTTCGGAGCATTCGAAGCTTCCTGCTTACCTATGGTCCTCCTCGCCGTGTTTGTGTGCCTTCCGAGGGAACAGTCGGACGAACAAGCCGGGGTCGAGCAGAGAGCGGGGTAGGGGGGAGGAGTTCGACTACAGGCCTGCACCTTACCTGAGCACCATTACATCCCTCGTACCCTGTTCACAAAGTGGGAGCGGCTGAGTGAGTGATATATCAATATTGATGGTTATTGTACAGCAGAAGCAGCGGCTTCGTCGTCGTTGTCCCGAGCGACTGCAGATATCTTCAGAGTCCATGCACTGACATAGTGGCCGAACACACTCGGAAGGGCAGAGGGCTTCATCGAGCGGGAGGGAGGTAGGCTGGGAGGGAGGGAGGGAGGGGGGTTCGTCTGGGTTACGAGCCCGAGTATTCGAACAAGGAACTTCCACTACTTTCTTAATTGTATGCTCTCCTCGAGAATGGTAGACGAGTTGCTGGACGTGATGTCGTTATCTTATTTACTACTCCTGTACCTATCGCCATCGCTCTGAGACGTCTCGTCTCTCCTACGAAATAGATATATGAATGCATCGCCTCCACAAACAAAGAACTGCGTTTGCTGAACTTGCAGAGATCGCAGAAGACGAGCAACGTCAGCTACTTCAGCGCCGAAACTGTTCCATCAGAGACTGCAGCGTTTAGTCGCTCGGAGGAATAGCATCTGACAGCCTGACGTCTGACAATAAGTTGGGAAGCGTGGAGGAGGAATAGCGGGCGAAGGAGGCGCGGGGTACCGGGAGAGCTGAAAACAATTGAATCCACTCGGGGAAGACTCAGCCCTGTCTGCGCCGCCGCGCCGTTGCCGTCTCCCAGCTTTTTGCAGCGATGCAATGTCAGGCGGTGAGCTTTGGGCAACATCGATCATACGGCTGAAGAGCCTGCCAACACTCGCAAGCCGGAGCTCTCGCTAATAAGAGCGTTCTCCCGACGCCGTTGTCATGCCCAAAATAAACAGAGCCACGTAATCTTACGCGCGTTCGCTCCCGCAGCGGATCTAGGAAAGCCCTCTGATGGAAGAACTAATCATTGGCAACCTTTTGTGGAATGTCGATCGACTGTGGCTTGGCTGGAGCCCGAGCCCGCCTGCGAGAAACAGATGGATGGAAGTAGCGAATTCCTCGAGCGTTCCGTAGGAGGCAGCTGCGGAACATTACGTACAGACCCACAATGGAGCAGCATTATTTTGTGTTCATTCGACCCACGGAATGCGAATCATTCCCTGAACGAGTGAGCAGGTCTTCCGGATTCTGTTGAATAATCGAAATTGATCGAGCTGAGCGCCAGATGGACCATCAATGAACCCCGCGCAGAGACTCTAACCTCGGAGATGCCGGTCCTATCGGCCCGGCGGCGAGTTCACTTCTCAACTTCGTTCGTTCGCGCGGAGCGATGTGGCTGACTTCCGACCTGATAAGAAACCAGATGGGAATGATAAACTTCGATTTTTACTCTTCATGCTTAGCATGCGTGTATTTGGAATTGCCGGAGTGCTCCCGTCGTTGCGAATGGAGGGAGGTGCGGGGCCGCAAACCAATGACGCATTCATCATGAGTCAGGTCTCGTTGTACACATGCGGTCGTTGCTGTTATTGTTGTTGTCGTCATCAATTGGCAGCAATTTACTCGCGATCACATCGATCAGGAGTCGGAAGCCAACATTTCGAGGCCTAACCCGCATTAGATCTTGTCAACTATTCCTATAACGACACCAACTAACCATCTCTCCCGATTGTCTCATTCCAGGTGACGCTGGTTAAGTGGAACGAACCATATCAGAAGCTGGCTTCGTGCGATAGCAGTGGAATAATTTTTGTATGGATTAAATACGAGGGCAGATGGTCGATCGAACTGATCAATGACAGGAACACGCAAGTGACAGACTTCGCCTGGAGCCATGACGGCCGAATGGCCCTCATCTGCTACCAGGACGGTTTCGTCCTCGTCGGCTCAGTGGCGGGACAGCGATACTGGTCTTCGATGATGAATCTAGACGCCACAATATCCTGTGGGGTCTGGACTCCCGATGATCAGCAGGTGAGTTTCCCCGTCATAGAGTGGAGATCCAGCCGAGAATACGACTCAGCTACGGGGGAAATTATTTCCAACCGGTAGAAAACCTGACTCAGCCATCGACAGCGTTCCCACACAGATTCATATGTACATACATATAATTACTCGAGCGTTAAAGTTTTCTGGAGGTCCGCGGAGCATAATCAGCGGATGGGAAGCTTTTTCGTTTCCCTCGTTCTATTCCCGGATCGAGAAGCGGGGCCTCCAATGGTTTTCCCATGCTTTCGGATTGAGAGGAGATTGGCTTTTAAGCATCCACGAGAGCTGAGCCCCAGCGAGAAGGACGACGATGGCGATGACGGAGGGAAACAAGAGGACCCGCATCAAGGAATAGCATGAACAGGGCCTGAAAGAGACGAGGGTTCCTCCCGGTATGGAGGGCGGGTCGAGGAGAGTAGAAGAACGAGGAAAGAAAAGCACGTCTGATTTGAAAAAAGGACAAAGAGCTTGTTCTCTAGGAGCCGACCGACGCCAGCACGTCCGCTGCTGCATAGGACGCTATTAAATGGCGTTCGTTTCTTGAAGAAAGCACTTCTTCGTACAAATGTGATTACGTTCCTCCCGGGGACGAATGTACGCCTCGAGCACTCCCCTTGCTCCATCTGTTTATCTGTAGATCCACTCATCAATCTATCTATCTGAGCCATCTTTTCTCCTCTCGTCTTTGTTCCGTCGGCGCAGCTCCATCTTTGGAACGCTTCCCGATTACTCCTCTGAGGGGGATTGCGCGTGCAGATCGTTTTCCCATAGGGATCACTTATCTACCTCGACACGTGTACCTGTCGTCGTTCTCGTGTTCGACCCGATTGGCACGGAACGTTCGGAGAGGGAAAGGATTCCGGGAGGCAAACGAATCGAGCGATTTACTCAGAGGATCGAACGGAGGACTCTAATAGAATACCCCGGCCAGACGTGGGTCGAGGCTGCCCATTTCCCCATGAGCGAGGAAAAATTGAGCGGGGCCACGGAGGGCATGTGCTACGTCGGCGCCGCCCCGAAGCACCGGGACAGGCGATTGTATCCAGATGGATAGATACATGGCGAGGAAGGGCCGTCGTCGATATCGTCTGTTTGACTCAATGCGCTCTGCTAAATCTACAGTTGTCCCTTATCAGTTCGTTGTCGCCATCGTCGCCGCTGCCGCGGCAGCCGACGTAATAATCGTTCCCGGACTCCGCAACTCCCTCGTCGCCGAAGCCGGCGAGCCGCTAATAACGGCGGGCAGATTACTGCTTATCTAAGGATAACGTATGATGATCGCGATGTAGCCAACGACCACCCGTTTCAGCTTTGGCGCTCCCTATTGTTCCCGGCGAGGCTCTGATATCCCCCGGAAGTCGACGATCGAGAAATGCTTTCTGCGGCTTTGGGGTTCGGATCCCCAATGCGGGGTCCGATCTTTTGCGCGTGTTCCTCAACAAAGAAAAGTCAGAGCTCCGAGAAGACAATGAAACCTTCGGTGGGGGGGCACGCATGAAACCTCGGTTAAAGTTCGTGCGCGGGCTCGAAAACATCGCCGAGTGAGCTCAATAAATTGACAGCGATGAATCGAAGTCACACAGACACCGCATCACTGCTCCTCACCGACACTTGCTATGCTGTGGAAAAGTCTATTTTCCTGCCGTGTGTGCAAGACACGTCCATTATAGTGTCTGCGACAAAACGACAAAGTCGTGTCATCGGGCTTCTTCCATGAGTAGCTTCCCAAGCCAGCGGGAATGGGAGTCGAGCGCCCTGTACTGCGCGGCTTTGACATGTGATGAAATGATCTTCGTTCCCCGACTCGAACTGGTCTGTCTCCTTTCCTCCGATTTCCCTGCTCAGGTCCTCTGTCTGACTCGCTCCTTTCACTCTGCACTTTGGAGCGGAGAACCCCCACTTTGGAGAAACCGGTCGGCGAGGTTCCTCCGCCTCTTTCTACGGACTCGATTTCTTCTTTTCTCGCCGAACAGGAGCCAAGGTGTCGATCTAATGAGCCACTTGCCGTGGACAAGGGGAATGTCAAGGCCCGAAATACACAGAGAGATGGGGTAGTCGGTCTTTGGCCGGGATGTGGACGATGGAGCGGTACTCGCGCTCGATCGAGAAACTCTCGAGTTTCCCCTCCATGGGTTTCGGAAGCGTCGCTGACTCGCTACTGTCTCGATTGCAGGTGCTGTTCGGAACGTCGAAAGGTCATATCCTGGTGAACGATGTTCATGGTGAACTAGTGACTCAGGTCTGTGTGATAAAAGACACTCCGATCATCGCGATGGCTTGGTCGTGCGAGAAATTCAAGATGGAGGAGTCCGAGTTAGATGGGCAACAAGCGAGCGAGAATCAAACATCCCACGGTGTTATATTGGCCGTAGCTTTCGACAGCGGAATCATTTATCTGATGAAGAATTACGACGACCTCAATCCGACTGTACTGCACACTGGCCTCAAAGGTAAGCCTTCCTCTTCCGAGCTCGAAATCACCCGGACGATAACAACTTGACAAACGGGGACCCCATGGAGCGATACGGCTGCTCAGGCATCGCAGAGTTGGCCAATTGATAAAATATCAATAAAGCAGGATTGTTCAATTGAAAATGAATGGATCAGGGTTGTCTAATTGAAAATAAGAGAAGCAGGAGAGTCAAAAAAAAAATTCTCTTCAACCAGGCATCAAGCTCGAATGGTCGAACAGTGGAGAGACGCTCGCAGTCGCAGGAGTAGCCGAGGAGCTCTCTTCCACATCGTTTAGGAACCTAGTGAAGTTCTACGTGGCTGATACGGGCAGCCTTCGATTCGTGGCGTCCATACCGTACTCTTTGAAGCCGGTCACGGCGCTCACATGGGGTGAGTACGTCTCCTCGGAGAACATCTTTCATGGAACTCCGGCTCTCTCCTTGCCCCCTTATCACGCAGAGCGAGATTCTTCGGGCAACTGTGATATCAGATCCTGATCCTGAAAATCAATATGTACCTGATCATGACGCGAGATTCAATCTTTACGATTTTTCTTTCTGGTTCCATCGTAGGCCACAATGACAAGCGCCTGTTCGTTGCGACGGGAAACGTAATCCACATCGCATGGGTGACCCGTCGCATGGCCTCGCTGCAGTTGCTCTCCAGACTCAGCATCCAACGCGCACTACAGAATGAAACGCAGGTAGCTCGTCTGCAATTACCGACTCGACTGCGTGCATTAGTGTCGAACCTCTTCGGGCAGACGATCAAATGCTACCTGCCGGCACCTGACCGCCTAAGGGAATTCGTGTCGAAACCACCTGCGAACAACATTCGACTTCACTGCACGGTTGTCCGACACGACGACGACGTTACGGCGGGAAGCGCGACCTACACGTTGTTCCTGGAGTACCTTGGCGGTCTCGTGCCGTTGTTGAAAGGGCGACGCGCTTCGAAATTGAGACCGGAATTCGTCATCTTCGACCCTCAAGGGGACAGCCAGGGTTCGGCTAGCAGCCAGGTGAGTTTTCCGCGTCGATGCTCTCGGTGTTCGGACTCCGGATCGCCTCCCGAATCAAATCTTAATCGAATGGCGTAACGAATCTGTCGATCGTCGCAGGCAACGCCAGACGTCTCGCAGAGATGCACGCCAGCGGCCTCGTCGGATTCTGAACTCGACGAAGGGTGTGCCTCACCTCGAATGCAGCGTCGGCGGCGTTTTCGGAAGCAGCTCCTTAGCAACGGCTTGCTTGGCGGATCCGTGACGAGCGGCAAACCTGAGTCCAGAGAATCTTCACAGCAGCGGAGAGAGAGCGCTTACGTAGACCTCTTGCCTGAAAACAGTAAATTGGTAATTATCGACCTCAAACGTCTCGTTTCGAAGTCACAATGGCTTCCGCCGACGCAGTCCTACTCGAAAATTTGAGCAGTCTCCCCGGGAGGATGACCTTGACGTCACAGGACTCGGGACCTTTTTTCGATAGCTAGACCGCTAAGTCGAAGTTACTCGTTGCAGTTGGCGATAACGTCAAATATTTGGGGCACGAAGTTCAAGCTGATCGGGCTCGTCGATTGGCTGCCAGCCGTACTGGGGATCATGTCGTATCGCACCAGTCTACTCCATCTGCAGCCACGTCAAATGACGCTCATGATAAAAGAACTCCAAGGTCTCCGACCGCATTCCAATACGAGACTCCGAGCCAAAAGTGGACTCCAGAGCACCCCGTCGTTCAGCGAGGACGACGACGAACTCACAAACGGTAGGTCGACCGGAATTCCCACGAATGTCTCCGCGTTCCCTTCGCGGCGCAGGAGAGAAGATTATTACCTCACGGATTCGGCGAGACGGAATAGACGATATAAAGTCCTCGTTCTCAGCAGACGCTAACGGTTCGGAGAGGACCGAGAGTCCACCACCGATCGCACCCATGACTCCGAAAAAGCAAAGATGCGCACTCACTTACGAACAAATCGCCGCGCACGACCCCGAACTCGACGGCGACAACGAACGTGAGTCCTCCTTCCTTCTCTGACGTAGAGTTGCCCGTTTCCCGCCACGTCGTTCAAAGGTAATTCTCCCTCTTGCAGCCACACCGGCCGAGGAAGTTCTGTCGTTCACCACCACGAAAAACAGCCCGAACACATTACAAATCAGTTTGCGGTACAGACCGACTTCGACGTCGGTGCCGAGCCAAATTCAGTCCGTGGCCACGCAAACGAGTCTGCACTGCCTTTACGATTTGCTCTCGACCAAAGCCGCCGGGAGCTCTGCCGGACCGTCGAGAGAGACATCGCCAGTAGCCGGACCCTCTCGACTGAGCTGTGGTGCTACGGAACACTCCTCGGGTGTAGCGACATCGACTGGGGCATCATGCTCTTGCCGAAAGCCCCCTCGGTCGTCGTTAAACGGCACTTCGCCCACTCGAAAAGTGATGAAACGTAACAGCAGGGTCGACCCGGACCAAAGTTCCCCAGTAGAAGAAGTTCCCCATTCGACGACGAGCGAGATCGTCCGCGCAGTCCACACTCCCGAGCCCCGTTGGGCTGAGAAAGCATCTGATATCAAGTACATTGATCACGGTACGTTGCACGCGAAGCACTTTGCAGCTAATTGATTCGCGGCCGTCGTTGGTGAAAACCATCAATCACCGAGGGCAGGGAAGATCGGGGAAAGGTCGACTCGATACCACTTGACCACCGGGTTGTTGTCGAGCTAACCAGACGTTTTTCTCTCTCTCTCTCTCCCGAATTCCGTAGAAGAGGACATCTCGAACGTTGCAGCCTCCGACGAGAGCCGCGCCTCAGCGAGCGGTCAGGCGGCCATTGAAAATGCTGTCACCGTCAGAGACGCAAGTATTCGTAGAATGCGATCGGACACAACTAAACGTTTGACTCTTCGCTCGGTGCGCTCGCCTTCATCTCCATCGAAAGCGGAAAACGGAGAGGTTGACGCATCTCTGAAGACAAAAGAATGTCTCATAGACGATCCCGGCTGCTGTTGTGAGGCTTGTCAAGCCACCGACGACGAAGGCTCCTCAGCACCGAGGACTCGGAACTCACCGATGCTCCAGAGGGCGAGATTAGACTCAGACGGGTAAGGGAGGGCGAAATAATAGAAGCTTGCGCCAAGGTCGATTCGAGCTTGTTCGCTTCCATGGCGAAGTCGCTCGTTGGAAGGCAAAATATATTCTAAAAGTTGTTCGTTCTCTCCGGCTGCAGGAACGCGACTCCTCGTCCCATGGAACAATCATCCTTGCTGGGTTCGAACCCGCTGCTGAATCCCCTCAGCTCTGCGACGTCGGCTTCGGTTCTCGAAAACGCCATAGTGAGGAACGAGCAGGATATTTCGAGAGGTCTCACGCCACCGGCGAGTCCGCCTGTGAGCCGGAGTACGCCCACCACACCGGACCTCAACAATCGTCGGAGGAACAAAAAGTAAGAGTTTGTATTCAGGCCGTTGGAATACATCCTATGAAACGACCCCGACAGGGGGTACCTTTGTCCATGGGGGGACCTCGAGCCCTACGGAGAGGAATTGGGAATCGATGACGATGGAGAATTCCATCATGAATGATCGAATTTGTCCTTCCGGAACCTTTCTCCATCGCGAGTCGAATGAACTTGATCGAATTCATCGCGAGTCGAATAAACTCGGTCGAATCAATCGTGAATCGAATGGTCACCAAGCGCTGCTGAGGGATTCTTGGCAGCTGAAGATCCTCAGAACGAGAATAAGGGAGGCTATCAAAATTTAACGCGTCTGATGCTCCTTCTAGGCAATCGACGAATCATCTCAAGGCGCTACTGTACAGTCCATTGCTGCTACGTAAGGTCCGGAAACAGTCGCTAAGGTCCACTATAGAGAGCTCCGACGACGAGAACACAACACCGGCGGGAAGCAGCGAAGATGTCATATCGAACAATGGTTTCCGAGACCTTGAGTCAATGCAGAAAGCTTACATCAAGAAGAAACTGAAGAAACGCCACGGAAAGGTAAGCGAACAGATTTTCCGTATGCTCATGTCCCTCCTACCGGAGGAGTGTCGATAACCGCCGCTAATCTAGCGCTATGGAGCGGACCGGATCGGAACTTGGAAGGGACTCCGTGAATTTCGCGATGCGACGATTCCTAACCTTGATCATAAAATCCGCAGGTGCATCAGCAAGAGATGCTCGTTAGCTCAAAGAAAGAACAGGAAGCTCGACAGGCCCAACCCGCGCCGGTTTACCGCGAGTTCATTTTGTCTAATAAGGCACCTCTCTGGAACGAGGCCAGCCAAGTGTACCAACTCGATTTCGGAGGGAGAGTCACACAAGAATCCGCGAAGAACTTCCAAATTGAATTCAAAGGCAGCCAAGTCATGCAGTTCGGCAGAATCGACGGCAACGCGTATACTCTCGACTTCCAATATCCCTTCACGGCCCTCCAAGCATTCGCCGTAGCTCTGGCCAACGTCACGCAACGATTAAAATAATCAATCACGAGATAATAATCCAGAGACTGTTTCCTAACCGGAAGCTCGGCTTCGTAAGATGGGACAGGCTGCAGGTGTTCGGCGATCGGGGCCGAGTGTGTGTACATTTACGTATCCGCCCATGATCGCGATTGTGACCACTGCCGGTCAACTGCCGCCGTTCTTCGTCCTCCCGAATACACCAATTATTATTCTTACATGCCCGAGCCCCGTATGGACGTCGGGTCCATTGATGTTTCGTCTCAGACGGGATGGGAGTGTTCGAATGGGGCTGTTGTGAGGACTTCTCGAGTCCGTGTGCCAAAGCCCACGTGTAATCCGTAGAGGCGGGCGTCAGGAGTGCAACCCCCCCCGACTGGATCGATCGAGCTCCTGAATTCGCTCCTGTGCCATGCGAGGCACGAGCGTTCCGATGAACGACAGGAAGACGCGATCGTATTTCCTAACAGGACTGGTCGAGGTCTATCGGGAGAAATCAGTCGTCAGCATGACCGACATCGAGAAGATAGAGATGGACCGGTTGACACGGATCCTACTCCTACGTATTATTTCGAAAATTTTGACTTCCTCTGAACTGAGCACTCCATCAAAATGATCGAGAAGAACTCAAGAGCGGCATTTACTGTTCTGGCCGGCTAGCCAGCCAGCCAGCTCAGCTCCCCTCCCCTCCCTCGACTCCTGCAGTGAAGAAACGGAGCGAGTCAGGAATCGGCAGGAGGATCTCTGGGACTGACCAGACAGGAGATTCTATGTCGGAGCTGAAAATAATGTAGCTTACCGTAAAAGAGCGGTTTTCTGCTCCGAAACTCTTCCCGTAAGTGCAATGAGTTATTTTTCAAGACGGATGATTTTCTTGCCGCCTCTCCTCTCCTCGAAATCCGAAACCCGAGCGTGCAATATTTTCTCTACTCGACTGCAGGGTCATATCCTCGATTCGTCGGCTCATGGAGCGATCTCGTAGACTAGGAATTCCATTCCTTGGACCATCGAAGTCAGAAGGGAAACATAGAAGCTCCTTGGGGGGAACATTTTAGACATTCAAAATCCCCTCCTATAGGCGCGCATCAAAGAGTTCCCTCGTAGCCGATAAGACTCTTCGTCCTCCTCGAGGTCATTCTTATCAAGCCTATCGCCTTCCCTTCGCCGCGAATTCCCAGGACCTCTCCTTTGCGGAGATGACGAGTTCTTGCCTGGGATCGAGGTTTGAAGGTTCCAATGATGATGATCAGACGTAAATACGCCGATGAGACTGAAATGCCGGCATGTGCAACGAAGCTAGCTCCGCGGCTACTAGGAATAAGAACACTTATAGTTTCTGTGTCTGACTATGAATACTGCGTTATTTGTTGATACGATGTTTTGTGATTCTGACCGGTAGTTCTTCAACTACGATAGCAGTAGTGATAGCGAAAGAAGCTGTGCGAGAATAATGGGGGCCAGCGCGTTCAAGCTTATGGTCTTTCCATGCCATCAATCGCCGAATGATTTAGGAGGAATCGTGATGTTCTAAAAATGGGCGATGCCACTTCGAACCATTAATTGGACAGCGGAGAGAATTCATGTCAATTATTCTAGCTCGAGAGAATGAATCAAATCAATCCAACGGCGAGAAACTCGGTCATTCAGAAATTTCACCACGATGTTCGGCGGGCTGTCTAATGAGGAAGTAGATGAACATATTAATCTACAGACTCGTTTCAAACTGACGAGATTCTTGGGGCAATTACAACGCGTAACAAGCAAACCTACCACCAATCAGGAATGGATCGAATCATCGGTACGACGTGAATGGGCAGTGAGTGATTGATACGATGATACTTATCAACAAATTAGAGTTTGTTAACTTGGAGAGAGCGACGTTTTCGTATTTGGTACCTGCTGCTTCCTCTGTCGAACAAAAGTCGGCGACGATAACCTTCATATGTGTATATAGAAGCAGCGGTTGATGATAACTGCGACTACTCTTCTGAATTGCTAGGATATTGTAAAATGACACTCGATATCAATTCTTTTCTTTCTGTCTCATTCATTGGAGTGGAATCAATCGGAACTCGAATAAATGAAGAGGATATCAAACGAATTCCTTTGTCGTGTACGGGGGAGAGCGCTTCACGGGCTTCGGAGCTCTCGTACTGGCGGATTCTGGGAAGGATTCCCGCGGCGCGCAAGGCTCTGGAACCGCGTTCGAGCCTCCGTTTCCAGACGATCGAAGTTCGAAGGCTCAAATTCTCAGGAAAGGAGGCATTGAAGTTCTAAGGTGGAAGAGGGAATTCTGAAAGGTGGGTCACACCGGCGGAGAGGAGCCCTTCACGGAGTCAGTGGGATCTTGAGTCGTAGCCGGCAATAAGAGACGCGTGCCGGAGACCTTAAAGACTCCCGGTCCCATGTTTTCGCTGAGTTTTTCTGCTGCTTTCGAGAAGTCTCTCCTCAGCTAGAGGCGGCCTAAAGTTCATCTCGATAATTTTCCGCGCGCCCGGTACCGACACAGTCGGACCCTGTCTGGGATTTCCGCCATGTCCGTCGTTTAGCCAGACACATCCGTCCGTTAGACTTTCACCGGCCTCCGAGCAGCTGCGGATTCGGCGCACCTCTCTCGATACTTAACTGGTTGCTGTTTCGAGTAGGGTCATCGAAGGAACAGCGAGAACGGAGCCCATCTCGTGATCGGAGCTTCGGAACAGGGTACCGTTTGTTTTTGCCAGGACACCGCTGATCTTCTCCGGAGCGTGATTCAGAGAATCATATCTCTGTGACAGACCTGAATCGAGTAGGTCCTATCGCCTTGCTCGGGGGGTTTTGGATCGAATGCAAGTTTATCCCGGACCTGCCAAGACCGCAGGAGATTCAAGTCAGAGTGGTCTCCGGTACTCATGCGGTGAGGCACTCGATCGAATGCGGAACTTTCATGGAGGCCTGTCCCTACGTTCACAGATTCCCGAAGAAGTATGTCGAGCGATGAAGATCATGTGCTGTACAAGGATAGATCCGATTGGGCCGACGTCAAGCCATTGGACATCGAGACCGACAAGGATTCTGTGATAAATATCGCCTACAGCGAAACCTTCAGAGATTGTTATGGCTACCTGAGAGCCGTGCTCAAGAGCGGTGAGCTCAGCGAACGCGTATTCGAGGTGAGTGTGACGCTCGGCACCTCTTGATGGAACGAGGGGCCGAGGGAAAACCAATCATCTCCGAGAAAACTCCGTTTCGAAGGAGAAGCTTCGGTTGCCGTACGCTTGAAGCTCCATGATTGACTTCGAGAAAGTTGACGAGAGATATCGAGGAATATCCTCCGGACTGATAGCTCTCCGACTTCGCTTTTGCGGGGAGCTTGCAAAATAAGGGAAAATCGCCGTACTTGCGTAATCGTAGTACTGGGCCTGGCTGTAACAAGCTTCTGTCGTATCGCAGCTGACCACGACTTGCGCCGATGAGAATCCGTCCTGCTACACCGTATGGCTCCTTCGAAGAAAACTCATCGCGCATCTTAAGAAGGACCTCAGAGAAGAACTCGATTTCATGGTCACTCAAATCCAGGAGAATCAGAAGAACTATCAAGTTTGGTAAGTCTCAGTATGCTTTTGAATATAGGCTGCTCGCCAGTATCGTCGACGTCTCCTTCTGAGTGAGTCCTATCGAATTCCCGGATGGAAAGATGTCTAAATTCAAACCGATCTCTCATCCGAAGGTATCACCGTCAGAAGATGGTCGAATGGCTCGGAGACCCTGCGGGGGAGCTGGAGTTCATTCGTAATATGCTGGAATGGGATGCAAAGAATTATCATGCGTGGCAATATCGTCAATGGATACTGCGGAAGTTCAATCTCTGGGATGGTGAGCTGGCGGTCTGCGATGAAATGCTGGCGAAAGATTGCAGGAACAATTCTGCGTGGAATCAAAGGTGAATAGACGGCTCGGAAATGGACGGCTCCTCCGTTCCCCTCCGATCATAGCGTCTCCCACTCGCGTGGGCATCTTCTTCATTTAGAGACCGTCGCTCTAGAATACCTAATCACCGATTACAAAAAGTTTGTCTTTCTTTTTTCCAGATATTTTGTCGTGCTCAATTCCACAGGATTCACCAGCGAAGTGATGGATAGTGAAATCGAATTCACCCTGGACTCTGTCCGCGAGGTCAGTTCCGGCGCTTCGGGGATATCTGATCGTGCTCGATTCTTCTATCCTTGTTCACACTCACCGCTCCCACTTTTCCGGGAAGGTCCCCTGATTTCGGCATCTCTCTGTCTCTCCAGGTCAACTACAACGAGAGTTCTTGGAACTATCTGAGAGGCATATTCAAACACGCCAACGACAAACAGAAAGCTCACATAATCAACGTTTTGGAGAAAGAATTCAGCTCCGGGAGAAAAAGTGTGTTCTCTCTGTCGATCCTTCTCGACACCTACGAAGCGACCGGGCAAAAGGACTTAGCTTTGAAAGCAGCCGAACAACTGAAGGAGCATGATCTTCTGCGAGCGAATTACTGGGATTTCAGAGCGAGACTCTTACGGGAGGAATGATAACCGCCCTGGAATCGCCAAAATCTGAGACCTGTATTTTGATCTCAAGAATAAAGGATCCGGCTATGTTCTCATGGATCGTCTTTGGAGCCTGGGACGTTCTCTTTGCACATCCATTCCGTCACACGTACTCAGTATACATACATGTCACGTCAGCCAGTATATGAAGGGTCTTCGTTCGAGGCCCAGCGCTGATCTTCATGTTCTCCGACGGAGTGTACAATTATATTTTCCCTCGACTCTCGGGGAAGGACTGAGGAAGACAGCAGCGCAGGCTCGAACGAAGAGTTCTTCGGACAGATCACAAAAGTTCTTCGAGCAGACAGTGTACAGAAAAGTTCGATTCTTACGAAATATTTTAGTTGGGCCGGTCGATTGTCCGCGCTTTTCTTGACTATCTGGTGAGTAGGGATGGAAAAGGCAGCGCGGAGAAGGCTCCCATCTCCGCTACGGGTTTTCGGACCAACGGACGCTGTAATTTGTCCTCGAGCTGGTGAGGAGGCGGAACACTACGAAATGTTCCCGGAAGCCGCCCAATTGGATCTGAGTAGAGATTCACGGGAATCGTAGTTCCGAGTTTCATTCCGCGGACGGATAGTGCTGTGGCGCAGGCGGCTTCTTCCATGAGATAGCTCCAACCTCTCGACGCCAGTGGAATCCGTGATCCGCTTTGATACAACCTGGATCAGAAATATATATGTTTATCAAATATCCTTAGGTCAGGAGATATCGCCGATCATTCTAATGAGAAACTTCGAATCTTCATGCCCGGAAAGCGTTGCTCGACATTTGTGGTCATCCTTCCGCTGAAAAATTCAAGCCGGTGACCATCAAGAGAGACTCCGGCGCAAGGATCGAGGTCTTCTCAGATCACGTTCCTCAGTACTCTCGTCGGTAATGAAGGATTCCTTTACCTCGAAATGATTGAGAAAGTCTCCGGCTCGTAATCTCCCAAAACGATCTTTTTATCGTGAAATCATCGTCAAGTTAGCTTCTGATCCACGAAGCCGTCCAAAGGTCTCGAAGCTCGATCCGTCGGGAGCGCTAAAGCAGAACAAGCGACCATCGCAGAGGGCCGGGAGCGGCCCTTACCGAAACCATTCAATCGGCTTCTAGCAGCATCTGAAGCGAGCTGAAGGTCTTGGTCTATTTTAGAAAATGTGTTATGTAATCGCCAAAAATAGTTACCCAGTAACCCGCTGATTGTAACTTCTGTTTCCGTCGAAAGACTACAGAAGACAATTTAAGCATCTCGTTAGCGAACTTAAAAACTTCTATTATCCAATTTATTCGCTATATTCTGGGCAATCGGCAATCGGTGAGCCGTTGACCAGAAATTTTAGCTCCGCCAGGATTGAGTTAGCCGATGAGTTTAGAAGAGTGCATAGCCTGGTACAATCACCATCAGATAGCTCCGTGTAAGCTGGACAACCGCGACTTCATCTATCGAAGATAGCTCACGCTCACGGAAATCCCCAAGCGTTTCTCCACTGTCGCCGTGAGGGATCGATTTGCCCTGTTCCTTCAGAATTCACTCCAGGCCTCAAGGAGCGGTTCTCGGCGGGTTTGCCGATTCGAGTTCCTTTCGCCGCAGAGCGGTTTCTATATGAGAGCGTTCCAAGTCTGCTCGCAGAAAGAGACCTTTGCCCCCCTTCGAAGCATGGACGGGAGAGTTTCCCACCTTCGGAGCTCCCATATACGGATACCAACTCGGAGACAGATTTCGGAGGTATTTCCTTCGGAAATCGTTTCCTGGAGGAGACCGACTGTCGACCGAATTAGAATCGATCCCTTTTCAATCCCCCGAGTGCATACAGATCCGAACTTAAGGGTGAAGAACAATGCACTCAGAGTCTCAGCGCGATTGCATAATCTGGGCATCATCTCGTGATTCCCGGGAGGAGTCGCTCAACGTTCGCTGAGGGAGATGGTACAAGCGCCCCTACCTTCGTGAGCTCCGTACGACTTCACTAAGTAGTGTATGGGACGAATTTGCTCGCTTCCTCGTCAGATGAAGCTCGAAATCCAGAATCCTATCCGTAACACCATCAATCGGGATTGGCTGAAGGTAATTCGGGTATACCAGGGACGATGTTGAACAGAGTTCCCACTTTTCCGGACCTGCCCTAGTCCGTCTCTTCATTCGGGTTCCTCCACTTTGGGATATGTCCGGAAAAGGTCCGGTCCTGGGGGGCCCCGCAATGAGTTCTGACTACAATCAGGTTCGATTCCGGGATGACGAGCTCGACTAGCTCAACTCCGGTGAAGGGGGCAATTTTCGAAAGCGCATCCGTAGTCCGGAAATCGGTCTCCTTCCACTGAGCGGGTCTTTTTCTCGGATTCCGCGAGTGACTTCGACAGATTTGCAGATTATGCGACGATTCGGGTCTGTTGTAGATATAATCTCGCGCTTTCGATTTCCCGTGGGATCATCATGTTCGAAGAGGATGTCCGCTTTCCCCGAGAAAAATGTCCGGGTAAATGATGGCTCATCACTCCGATGGTAAATTATGGGTTACTCGTGAACACTGGCTCCCGATGAAAGCTCGAAATCACTGAAGACGGAACGAGCCGGTGCAAATGCAAACAGAAAGGCCGACGAAGAGTCGGGCAGATTACAGTAACACAGCTACTGAGTGAGAGGTGTCTCTGTAATCGCTTAATAGATATTTTCCACGGCGAGATGAAGTTCTCGTAGTGTTTCCCCGAACCGTCAGGGGGTAGGTAGATGGGAGAGTTAAAGAGAGGAATTGTTTGATAATGAGGTCGGTTACATCAGTTTCCGTCGGCGGCGGTCAACTGGAACTTGAGTAAGTTACCCGATATAGAAGAAGTCAGTCCCACCACCAGATCAAGGTCGGAGCGAGCGCCCTCACCTCGCCGCGCGGGCCTCGAGCTTTCCTATATATTAGCTTCTGGATGGCAAACAGTAAACGAGTTCACCGATCGTCGATCGAAGAGCAGCAGCAGCAGAAGCAGCGATGGTCAAATTGAGTTCCTCCGTTTTCGTGTGTGTGGTGCTCCTCAGTTTGTTCGCCGTGAAGATCTCGGAGAGCAAAAGATTGTTGCGACTCGCCGCCGCGGCCGCCATCATCCGAGGAGGTCCAATTATCCCGATCCCCATTCGGTATCCAGTGCACCCGCCAAAACCAAAGATCGTAGCCGTACCCGTGGAAAAACACATTCCCGTGCACCACCATGAACCGATCCTACACCACGAGGACAAATTGTCGCACGGTCTTGGAGGAAGTCTGGGAGGAGCTCTAGGGGGAGGTTTCGGAGGGGGTCTCGGGGGTGGTCTTGGGGGTGGTCTAGGAGGTGGTCTAGGAGGGGGTCTAGGGGGTGGTCTCGGAGGTGGTCTAGGAGGACTCGAAGGTGGATGGTAGTAACGACTCGCACAAGTCAATGTTAAATGTTATTTACGTCGTTCGATCTCGTGACTGCGTGCATGTGTTGATGAAAGCTCCCGCGTGTCTGTCGTCCCGTGCCATCGCCAGTATTTGCTCGTTGTGTGACTCATTAAACAGCTCCTCAACATGTGATCCCCTTGCTTGTGTACAAACCGACGTGTTTCCCGAATAACAATGACAAAGCAACAATGAGAGGCTTTAAAATAAATAAAACTAGACGTTGATACTCCAGACTGAGAGGATGTCTCTTAACTTCGTGCAACGATCAAAATCGTCGTCTCACTCAAATCGCCGGAGACGATCCGCCCGGGGAAGTAAATCGCCCGCAACCTCCCTCTCCGTCATAACGGAGCAATTATTTTCCCCGCCTTGATGGGAGATGCGATACATTTTCAATCGAAAACCCGAAAGACGTGCCGTGCTGTGATACTGGGATTCTGACTTCCTCTTAAACTATTATTAGCCGATGTCATTGACAAGGTGAGAAATCGTGCTATCTTGCTACTATCAAGGCAGCCGTGAATCGCGACCGACAGTATGAGCGATCCGAAGCAAAATTCTCGTGGGTATTACAAGACCTAATCGAACAAAGAAAGACTCGCAGGCGGGCATTTCCCCTCGAGTTCGCTCCAGAGATCTCATTCAAGCACAAGATATCAGATTTCGTCTTGGTTTGCGGCTCACGAATCTTCGGACAGCAAACGCGAACCATGCTCCGCCGACAGAGCGTCTCCCGCTGAAGGATGCCCATCTGAGCCACGTTTGACATCTCGGCTCATGACGAAGAGAAAAACTTATCAACCCGTTGGAGAGAAGAGAAAACGCTAAGGGATTCCGCATGGTCCAATATATTCTGTGTCGCGATTGAGTCGCGTTGGGCGTCGCGCTGCTCCGATAATTGGAGCGAAAAAAACGAAAACGTTTGCAGGGCGGATCGCATGATCGCTCTGTGAGCAGAATCTGCAAAATGTGGGAACGCCATGGGAAAGCCGTGATTTCAGTCAGGCGCTCGGGGAAAGCATCCAGAGAACAGAGCGACTCGACGTGGCTTGGTTTTGTAATCAAACAGCTAGATCGTTCTGAGCACGCTATCAATAGTGGAAGCAACAGCGGTAACGGTCTTGAAATCGCAGCGCGGAGCTCTCATGCGAAATTTGGAGCTTCCGTTTGAGAAACCCAACATGTTGGTCGTTGGCAGGTCGATCGAGCATCACCATGTCTTGCAATGTGGTCCCGTCTGATTGCTAATGTTCGCTGATTTTTCGGCTCTTCTGATCATTCAACTGATGGAAACTACTTACCTGACTGCGAAATTATTGCATTCACTGAACTCGCCGGTGCCGTATGGCGTCGGGAGGTTTTGAGTCTACAAAAACGGGAGGTTTCGTCTCCACACAAACGTGAGGTTTTGTCCCCTCCAACGCGACAAAAATGAGAAAATCGGAGAAGCAGGAAGGGAATTCATCGACATCGTGAACCCAGTCGTTGATTCCATCCTTCCCTGCTCCGCAGGAGCTGAGCAAAATACCTCTTGTAGTGACAAACGTAAACATTGACCTCATGGATCGGATGCGATCAGTGACCGGTTTAGAACGCAAGACGTGACAAACCTGGCATTCTCAGCATCCATCGGATGCCCAACGGAAGCGCGGTGCACGGTTAGTGAATGTGGAACGGGGCTCAGGGAACTTGGGAGAGTTTGTGGGGGAAGACATGAAACTCATCAACGAGGTCGTGTGCCATCGAGGCATACCATATATAGAATAAATAATAATCGTGTGAGTTTTACTAATTTCGCGAAGTCGCATGGGACTCTCCCACGATGCGCCACATGACTGTGACACCACGGACGGACACTCCAGATATGGAATGGCATGGGGCTCCCCCTTCATTCTGGGGCGGTTGGCTCGAGCTCACGAGCTGCTCATATTTCGTAGCTTGGCAAATACGGCGAGGGGGAGCCTCCGAGCAGGTCGCCTTGTCGATGTCAACGGTGTCGTCCAGACACCCGGTCCAATCGGACCCAATGCCCGCAACGGCGATTTATCTGGGGCGCTCCGTATACGATTGTGGGGATTACTATCTTCCGATCGAAGTTTAGAGGAAATTCAGACCTAAGTGAATGGAGCGAGTTGCCCCCTGTGACTCTCGATGGTGCGCAGACTCAATCGGAGGCAGCTGACAATGACCTCAGTGATCATGGACTACGGAAAACGGGACAATTTTCCCGAGCGGTGATTTCTCGCTAACTGAGGTCATGTCGACGTCTTGCGAGACATATAAGTTGCCTTATGCTTCGTGCGCACACCGGCTTGACTCTCTCTCACACACACGACCTCTGTCCATAAATCAATATCTGATAATGATCGAATTTCCCCTTGCAGTTCCCGATCTGACCTCGACTTGAATCATGCGGGAAGACCATCGGGAAACATTCGGGAGTCCTATATGGGCCATCTGACGATCGAATTCAGAGAATCAACTGGGCGCAGCGCAGCCAGAGAAGATGACTGATTGGGGTAGGGAAAATGTTATGTTCTCGGGCCGCTGCGTCCTCAAAATCACCGATCGGAACCCTCGCCACAGCTACCGAAAGGACTAACGCTATTTGGAATAGGAATTCTGTGCAGGCATAGCGAGGACCCGGATGTTCGAGAGGTTTATTGAAGGAACAATTGTGAAAACCGCATTCGCTTGTCACACACATTCCATAGGACCCTAAAAATCACAAGAAGTCTGGTGGGGTGCAGAGCAAGTCGCTTTCACCGGATCTCACAATACTATTTCGCTCTGCGTCGATGGGCTTTCTCGTATGTCGCGGATGTCTCCGCGAGAACGAAAGTTCCACGCCCCAAGGTTCGGCAACGACATGGACCGATGACCGTATACACTATCCATCCGTATGTAGGTGGAACTGCAATTACTGCTCGGGCAGTGCGTCGGAACGTCTTTATTTTTCCAGGATTGACGAGTGTCCCTGATGAATTGCCAACACTTATCGCGAACTGAGCAGCACAACATCAGGAGGAGGATTCCGAGAGCGCCCAGGGTCACTGCGAAATATCCTTTATGCGCCACTAATCCTAAAAATGCACCCATCACACTGACGGCACAGCCGAATCCGATGCAGAGTAGGTTGGAAATGGTTCGACTCGGCGATCCTCGGGACGAAACTGTCCTACGGCCTCCTCCCACCGCGAACATCTCGAATCAGAGCGTGTCCGAGTGCTGGGGGGGCATATCAGTCGAGACTCGGATTCCTCAGCCGCGCACTCGAGCCGAGACTAAGTGGGGAGCGATCCCCTCCGTGTTGTCGGACGCTCTCAGCAGCCCTTCTCGCCATGGAGCCGAATGTTCCGAGTCAGAGTTTTCGCAGACAGTGCATCCACTCACAAAATCACTTTCAAGTCCGGCAGCACGTCAGCTTGCAAGACACGATTCCTTGAGAGCAGCATCGACTCTCGAAGTACGTTCTTTCTCACGGGAAGTCTCGAACGAGCTCGCGCACGTAGCTCGGCCGACTCTCCGACTCGTCGAAGTAGTCTGAAGGCGAACAACAACAACTGAAAAGGAAGGGAAACATTGTTCGATAACCGAATGGGCCACGAAATAGACGGTACGGGCTGCAGATAAGAAGGGGCATCTGTTAGAGGGGGCCCGCTGCTGAAATTGTCGGCAGGTTGCGAACGTGTTAGGTGCAAAAAGGGACGAGAGGCGCCGAGAGGCACGAAGAGAACATAAAGTGAACGTGGTGAGGCGCGCGGTCACACGAAGAAGGAGGTCGCGCACGGAAAGCTGCAATGCGGCACGGTGGAAGAGGCAGGTGCTCATGAAAAATACTTCAAAGGCCACAGAGGGCCACAGAGAGCCACCGAAGGGACCGAGGGATCCTCCTACCGACCAAGCGAGCAGCCAGTCAGCCAACGAGGCACTCGGGGAGAGAGAACCAAAAGACTTAGTGAATATTTAACACGCAACCCCGAAGGTTGTGCAAAAGAATTGATCCTAATTATTGTGCCAAAAGTTATTAGCCTCAAAACGATCCGACGACTGAGCTTAAGGACTGGCCGGCGAGCTTCCTCAATTTCCCCTTTTTTTTTCGCCCGGGAAGAGAATCCGCCAGGGTATTCCGATCGGCATATTTTAGGATTACGAGCCTTGTTGATGGACCTCGAGAAGCCGTCACCTGCACATACCGAGCCGTGTACTCAGACTTCTCGTATGTGTAATGTTCGACGAAAATTCTCCTGATCCGGCGGGAAGCGAGCTCTTTATCTCGATTCCTTCTTTCTCGGCATCTCTTGATTCCAGGGGGACTTTCGCCCCTTGATCGGCCTCGGCGACCCGGAATCGTGTTCGAACGCAGTATCACTATCGCACTATCCATATCACTATCCATCGCGCTCTCAGCTCATTGAGCCTACTTCCAGGCTACAGAATTATGGGACCAGGAGAGTGTGATCGTAACGATAAGCAGCATCTGTGCTCTCTCCAGCCGGAGGAAGACGTCAATTCGGCTGTTAAACTTTCGTTTCCCCTTCCCCGGCCGATGATCAGTGGGTCTATCTGCTCCGAACCGAAATACGTAGCGAAGTGAATCAAGCTGACTCTATCCCATATCCCGCGACTTATTCCATTCAATTTCCCCACTTTGTAAGGGTTTTCGGTGCTGGCTTGCTCGAACAGAGCTCATCCTAAGAATTAATTGAGAGCTCTGAATAATCGCATAAGATGTAGTAGATCTGCCACGTGAGGATGGGGTTCAGTCTTCGAATCTTATGGCCTCGCTATAGACATCGGATCGATGAACTCACCGTGGCGGCGGTCAAAAATCCCGATTGAATTTGAGAGGATTTCAGGCTTAGAATTCCAGTGTTGTCAACTTTTTCCTTCGCGAAACTCGCTGATATCTACAATCGATAAGATTTCGAGTTGCTGCAGTGAAACGTGGCGGGGGAATATGTCGGGCTCGTCTCGCGAACCTTCTGCCGGATCTGCTGCTGCGACGAAACCTCCCTGTTGCTGTCGTTGGAAAGCCAGGTTTCCAGCAAACACTCCGTGTCCGAATACGGAGACACATTCGGCAAAGACACGAAACTCGTGCCCCCACCGAAAAACGCGTCCTGGAGCTCCATAGAGTCCCGAGCGCAGCGGAGTTCATGGTACTCGGGGCGCGGCCAATCAGGATCTTGCCAAAACAACGTCAACGTCTTATCGAACTTCCACATCAAATGCAAAGTGGGCGAAAGTCGTGGCAAAATCTCGATCAGAGCTGCTGACGCCGGTTAGATGGAGAGAAAGTATGCGAAGAATGAACAAGATACTTCAACTCGATAGGTGGCTTCTGGCTCAAGATTTGTTATGTTGACGATTGAATGATTGCTGAAGTCGGTCATAGGTACTTTTCTCCTGAACGACCGAGTTGTCCTGCAGGATTCTAGCAATGAACCCCTTCGCGACTTTGGACTTCCATTCGATTTGTATCGAATCACTCGTCAAAACTCGGACCCCAAACGTTCGACTGGTCGTAGAGGAGCCGTGCAGAAAGAGCGTCCCGAAATTTCGGATCTCGATGCGTCTATGCTCACTCCCCAATGAATGCACGGTCTCATCCACTTTCAGATGGCGCACAGCTTCCGTGGCATGGGCCTTCTTGTGAGAAAGAAGGGGGTCGAAGAGGAAAGAGACGGGGATGAACGGAAGAGCGAGCACAGGCGCGAGCATTTGGAGCTGCACCATGGTCGTCCGTCGCAGGTGCGCTCGTCGGCTAGTGGAGTAGCCAGTCCAGAGCCGCTGAAAGTCTCTAGCTAAATACTCGACGATATCTCGCTCATTTCTCCCGCTTATCGCAATATTGCCCGACGAAGAAGCTGGGATAATCGGATGCATGGAGATGTGTTGACACTCGAGCCGTCCGGCATGGTCAGCGAGACCTTCCACCAAATCGGGAATCGATTGAAGCGCCTCTCCGGGGGAGTGGTTGATCGATTTTTCGCTCGCTGTGGTTGCTGTTCTCCGAATCGTATCATACCAGATTGCGAACTTCACACATTCATGATGGGATATAAATCAGCTCATTGATCGGGATCGCTTTTTCCGAAAACGGGGATAGTCTCCAACGAGAAGGGTCTCCGCCTGTGTTGGCATACTTCGCACTCCGGAGTCGGGTTCTCACTCGGGGCAGACAGAGCTTACCTCGACGTTCTCCTCCAGGAGTGCACGAGGAGACTGGAGAGGCTAGAATGTGTGAACAGAAAGAATTGACGCTGAGCTCTGCCGAGGGCGTCGGCCCAAGTAGGCAACGCGTAGGGACTGTTTCCCCCTGCCACGTAAACGATTCTTTCCCCGCGTCGAGGGTTTCCCGCGAGTTGACGTGAGACTTCTGCCGAGACCCCAGCAATGTGTAAGCCTCGCGGCTCGTGCCGTCTAGTTCTTCAGAATGAGAACTCGGAACTTTTGTATCGGTTAGGGTCGAGTCTGTTCACGGCCTCATTGGGATTTCTAGGCTAATCCAAATACGGAGAAGCTCTCTCCTCTCCAGCATTCCTTTCGGTTATCCGTCTCAACGCAGCATCCTCGAGTCACGGCATTTGATCTACCCTGATGACGCAAAAATATATTTCATGCAGTGAAGATTCATTCTTCATCTACGGCGCATATCTAAGCGAATTCTCGCGTCATCCAAGGCAGCGCCCACGAACGCTTACCACCTCGTTTGTCCTTGATGCGCCGGGAGATGGCCTCGGTCAAGAGGTGATGCGATTCGCCGCAGGAGTGGATGTTTAGGTTCGCACCTTCAGCGGCCACGACTAATATACTGGTCGAGTTAACCGTTCCGCGTGACAGCGTGCACCTAGCACTCTCAAGGGTGCTATCAGTCAGCAGCGAATCATTTTCTCGCTGTTTGAAGGTTCGGCGTTCCGCAAACGGAGCACCAAGAAGATACAGCGTCGGTACCGCGCGCTTTGCCTCGGGACTCCTCTGGTGATGTGGAGAGCAACCGCTCGCCATCTACGGGAACCACGATGTGCTATCGGAGAGTAACCTGATCTCATCGTGCTTGTGACAGACTCGCGAAGAATTTCCGACGATTGAACTCTCAGCGAGATTCTTCCAGACTTTCGGGACAAGACTCGAAGGTTCATGTCGTCTCTAGCAAGTATTTCGGCGATCGGAGAAAGTCCATCACGGGCTCCTCTGTCCGTCTGACGGTCAGATTCACCTCCGCAGTCGAAAAGAGACTGACCTTACAGTCTATAAGTGATCGCTCGATCGGGCTAATTAACCCTCGGGAGGCATCGAGTACTCCTGAGGCCGCATGTCGCCATAAAAACTTCTGACAGCATCTGATGGTCGCGTGTTTCCTCCAAGCCCAGCTTACTGTCAAGGGAGGCTCGAGTTCACTGGAGACGTAGCGGTCCCCGCCGCCGGGAAGGAAGGAGTCCGATTCTCGTTTCCGTACAAAGAACACATTTATTCGCCTTTTTTATTGGTTACCAGATGCATCCGGAAGATTCACCGAAATTTCAGATTTAGATCCGCGGTATGTAGAGCCTTCGTAGCTGATGAAGGGATAAGCAACTACGACGAACCCGCCCTCAGTCCCTAAGCTCGAGTCGATCTGGAACAGGGAGAACCGATAAGGAGGCGCTTATGTTCCGCCATTAGGTCTCGCCCACTCAAGTCAGGGCCTCTCTGCTGGGAGGATCGGAAACGTACATGGTATTGCCGATCCAGAGGTCCGGCTTCGATGTTGCTGCAAAGCACAGTCGGGTCGTTCCGCGCCGGACATATGGAGATTGAGAATCCGCTCGACAGCGGAGATTCGTATTCCCAAACAAGCAACCTCTGAGCCTCGACCCAAGCCAGGCCAGAAAGCGGTTCCGGGTCCTTTTTGAGAATCGGCAGCGACACGTTCACGGGATCGTCGGAATCGAAAGCTCCGTAGCAGGCTATCACCGAGATCTCGTAGTCTGTCCACGGCTCCCGTAAGAGATCCACGGAGGAGTTCGTAGTCACGATGGATTCGCATCTTCTATCCGGGCTGAATAAACTCGCGAGAACCGCATTTCCCCACAGGGGAACAGGTTTGCTGCAGACAGCAATGTGGTACTCGACAACAGTTAGGGAATCCGAGGTATTGTTCCGGGCGATGGAGAGCTGGACCTGATATGGAACGATCGGACTGTAGACCCGAATCGATGAAGTCTGTGCGCTCGAATACTCATTGCGAAACTCTGTCTCAAGTTTTTCGAGTCTGATATCGCGATAGAACATTATGACTTATGATGGACACCATGATCAAACGAATCCACGACCTCCTCGATTGAAAACAAGCCAAGATATTCCATACGGTGCTGTTTTCCCTCAACTATGTATATTTCTTCAAGAATGGCAATTATTCACGATCGAATTGCGGTGCAAGGCTTGGGGATAGAGGCTCTCACTTCGAAGAGGAATAAGTTGAGACTTCGGAATATTCATTTCATTGATATCTACTGCTCCCCCGCGGAATGTTTTGACGGCAACCAAACTCCAGGATAATGATTATTATCATGCAGTCAATCTTTCTTCTCTCACCGTCGATGAGTTGGTGATTTCCGAAAGTGCCAAGCTCAAAGCCCCAGCAGATTCTGATTTTGGACCAAGAATCGACGTCATCTTCGTCGGACTAATGTAAGCTTTGCCGGACTTTTCTATAACGGCTTGGATCGTGAGATAATAGACAGCGTTCTCCTTCAATTTCCCCAAACTGAATTCTCGTTTGTGTCCAGGCACGCTTTGGCTCCCACAGTCGTCCTCGATGCAGTACGTGACGAGGAAATAATCAGGCGTAACGGAGGAGCTGTTATACTTCCAGGAAACCACTGAAATTCAGGACGATTTTCCATCATGAGGGGAAGCCATCATCCCCCGTCGGGGCCACGGTTCGAACCGGATAGAAGAACTTACGCTGCGCTGATGCGTCGATGTCAACGACCGGATCGACCGGCCCGGTCAAAGGTGGGATTTCCAAGCTCCGGACCATGAGATTCGAAACATCATAATTATTCTTACATCTATAATGAGCGATCATATTCCCGTGTTAGGGACCTTTCTCCGTCATGCAAACTGTCCTCCATGCAGAGGCTTCCAGTCGAGTTATTCTAGGTCGGCACCCAGGAATCACAGTTGAGAAGAAAAAGCCCACTCACTGGACGATCGGGAGATATTCAATCGTGTGCGGAATCCAGGCCTTAAGCTCCCGGTCCAGCTTGAGGGAGATTGTCCGAGACCCTCCGCGATTTTCGAGGACTTCCCAATGGTCATCGCAATTGACGTGTTGTGCGCACACCTTATACTGAACCTTAGGACGGAAGAACAGACGTTTCCTTAGACAGATTTTCATCTGTACGCATGTGGGGGGGTCCGGCTTGTTCGCCTGCTTCCCTCTATGCCAGAGCTGGCAATGTGGCAGCCAATCGTGGATCGCCAGGTCTGGGCGTGGGATTCTCTTCACGGAGCACTTTCGTCTCATACGCTCCAACATCTACCCGGGCGCGGCACTCCTGGCTTTCAAGGAGGAGTTTCAGAGCCGCCCAGATCTTCCCTGCCTTTGCATGTCCTCATCGGCACTATACTCTTGGGAACTATCCAGTATCATTTGACAATATCCTGATCCCTTCGAAGCAGCTCGCATCTGCAACGCTCATGCAAAACGACTCACCCTCTTCAAGGCCAGATTATCGCTGCCGTCGATGGAGAAATGCAACTCCAAGAAATCGATGCCATTGATGTTCTCGAGGGTGAAATCCGCCGCCGCTTCGATGCGGACTCCCTCGCGGTATCTGCATGTGAAGAACTTCGGGAAAAGAGGCGTTTTGATCAGGTTTCGAATTCGGAGCCTTGTTGTTGTTCTCGCTTGGTCGCTCGTGGAGAACCATGTTTCGAAGATACAATCCGCATTGTCAAATTGAGACGCGTTTCGGAATGCCGCAGATTCGGTACCACCACTGAGATAAGCCTCGAACACGCGGTCGGACGCGTAAGGTGAATCTCTTTCGAGCGCGCAACGAACTCTGTGTGTCGTTGGAGTCGGTTTGTCCGGATTGATCCAGGATAACTTGAGGAATGGATCGTTCGACGTCTGACTCTCAAAGACGTCGAATCGGACATGTAGAGCGGGCAGCACTGTGGGTAATGTCTCGACTCTCGCGAGACATGCCTGCGAAACAGATCTTCCTGCCGGCGGGAAGTAGAACGCCGCCACCTCGACAGTGTACAGCGTTGCTTGGTCGAGGTTTGTAATTTGGGCAACAGTGTGGTTTTTGAAGTCCGGGAGAACTTTCTCTTGGACGAGTGCCCCATCCTTAAGCACTCTCAAGAGGAACCCGTCAGCACTTTTGGAAGTCCACTCTACTTGTACCGATGAGTTCGTCAAGGCTCGAGCTACGAGGTCATCGACAGGGCGCGGAGCTTCTTGGGAGAAGCTGCGACCCGATACTTCAGAGCTAGAGGCGTCCAATGGGAGCCTCTTCACAACGAATCTGTAGGCCGTCCTCGGGGGCACATCGGTAATCTTCAGGGTTGTGACGGCAGACTTCAGCACGTAGGGTATTTCTCGCGTGCTCGAAAGATCTTTCAGATATAGACGGGCGTCGTAAGCGTCGCAAATCACGCATTTGGCCCAGGAGAAAACAAGGTCACTTCCCGAGGCGTGCACCGTCTCGTTTTTCTTCAGCGCACGCACAGCTCCTGTAATATGAGCGTTCTTGTGAGCCAGCAGGGGATCGATGCTGGTGACGAAAGGCACCAGGAGAGCCGCAGCCACGAGTCCGCAACAGAGCTTCAGGAGCACCATAGCTGCTCGGTGGAACCGTGAATGAACGCTCGAGGCTCTTGGCTGCTTCGACAAGCCGGTTCGTGAAACCTGAGTCGTTCGCGTTGAGATCACGAATCATTTCCCGATGAGCAATCTCGTGGAGAGAAGTCATGTGGCGATACCCCCTCACCGGAGCCGCGAGCGGATTCGTCGTCCATCCCATGGGTCTGGAGGATGGAAGATTCGAAGAGAGATACCGAGCTGCTTCCCCAGCTGAAAGAGGGAACCTCCCCCAACTTCTGAGGAATTCCTTCACAAAGCTCCCCGCCGCGAGGGATCGGATCACGGCAAGGGGGAAAATCGACCACGCAGCTATCTTCCGCCGAGGATCCCTGACATCTCGAACAATACTGTGATCGATTCGCGCAGACCCGGAAAACGAACCCATTGCCGGATCCGTGCCAAGCTCGATTGGAACACTAATCATTTCCGGCCGCAAACATCGTGCCACGCGCTCTAGAGCATAATTTGTACACTTAACTCCAAGAAGTCGACGTTTCGACTGCTCAGAAACGCTCCGACCACGGTAGGGGTCCATTGAAAATCCATCGGTGATTGGCCGACAACGGCTCTTTTTCTTTATCGAGTCGAGCACCTACCTATTCCAGGCTTCACTGTGAATATATCTACCCATGCCTCCCTCGAGCCTCCGAGCTCATGTATTGAGAGTGTTAAGCGGGGCCATCGATGAATTGTTCCACATCTCCGCGTCTCCGGAAGAGTTCTGACTGAGCGGAGCAGGATGCCCCACCGCAGCAAATTCACCGCGGAACTCCTGACACCACCGCCAAATGAATTCCATGTCGGAGCTTGAGTCTGATCGCAGAGACCGGGATCGTCGGAGTCAATCACGATGTGAGATCCGAAGCCATCGATATCGAGATCAAGGTCATGCGCCGCGCAGAGCATCCCATTTCTCATGGTTGCGACGCCGACGCTGTTCCAAGATGTAGAGAGCGATTCCCGGTCCCATGTCTGGCGGAACGGGGGCGGCTCACAGTTTCTGCTTGGAGCGCTGATAGGCACAATGCATGCAGACCGAGTATGAGACGCCAGATAGAGCGATTTCGATGAGGGAGACGCAATAATGTCTGCTCATTCGCAGTGTGCCACGGAGGTTCCACGTCGAAGGTTCCCGAGAGGGGGTCCCGGCTGTCGTTCTCGCGGGTCCCGAAGGTCGGTGAAAACAAAATCTGTCATGATCCTAGGAAAAATGTATTCCACATATCTCGCAAAAATATCGACTAGCCGAATCGCCTCAGAATCTCTCGCTCTATTCAGGGTAAATATTCTTCGTCGTAAAAATATTCTTCGTCTGGCGATCCCACCTACCAGTAGGTACTCTTCGAATGACATCCTTTATGGGTCCCGAGCACAGTCGTGGACTTCGGAGCGCTCCCCGCTGAAAAGAAATCGGAAACCGCTGTTCTACGCGTACCCTACGGGCAGGCTCCGAGGCTTTTTCCCCATATCGAGGAGCAAGCACTGAGCCTCATTCCCACACTTTTCTCTCTGGAGGTGCGACACGATCCTGAATAGATCCACATTACGTTTCCCCACGCGACCATTGAGGGCTTTGTGCTAGCTAATTATATAGTTTGTAGTCCGCGCCCCGAAGTTTCTGCCGAAGGGAATAAAGAGGATTGAGTCGTCGCTTCTAGTCCTACCGTCTCGGAAAGGAGTATTCCGACGGAGTTCGCCTGCAGTGATTCCAGAGGACACGCGGGAAAACCGATTCGTTTCCCAACCACGTGCCTGTGAAGTACTCTCTTAAGCGACCGAGAGCTGGGAAAGCTGAGTGATCTGTACACAGAGAGTCGCTGACTTTTTTCGGCCAAGCATCTTCGATCTCCTCCAGGGGCACCAAACTGAGGGCTGCCCTGCATTTGAGGGATTTTTGTCCGGCTCGATCCTCATAGTAGGGCTGCAGCCCTATAGAGCTCCTGCGCTTTCTTCCATAGTGCCTGGCAGGAGTGGGTGCTACAGCCTTTTACTCCTGCTCCGCGAAAAGTCTCTTGGATAGCGTTGAGACAAGCGACCTCGCAGTCCAATTGCACCGTAGTGGTTTGGAAGACTTTCCCCACGGAGAGGGCATATTCTTTTAGCACGGAGGAGAGTCAGCTGTAGGTAGCCTTCGTCTTGTCGGGGAGTAAGAAAAACATCGACGCTTGCATCTGTCCCTTGTGAAAAGCCTGGATATAATTGGAGGAACTGCCTCGGAACCACCCGGAAAGTTCCATCCATGTATATGGAGCGAGCCTCGATAAGTATCTTCATCAAATCACGCGACGCGAAACCGAGGATCCCATCTGACGAGCCTGGATCCAAGGGCAGGAACTCGTCGCGGTCGATGGTTTTACTTCATTTCCAGGTGGATTTCCGTCCGGAAGAGGGCGAAGGAGGGCGGATTCGGGCCCGCTCCCGTTGGAGGGCGCACCGGAAATCATCGAACGTCGGTGATGCTGCTTCTAGCTCCTCAGGGTCACGGGAGGATCGCGCTCCCGAGGCTGCGCTCGCCAGCACCTCACCGTGGACTCTCATGCTAGATTTCTCAGGCGGCTGCGAGTCTACCATCTTCAAATCGAGCACGGGATCTCGCTCGAGGCGATTCTGCCGTTCTTCGCCATGATTGTGAGCCCCGGATCGGCATACCGCTACCGGCTTGACGACCGTCAGAAGTATAGAGTGGACCAGAATGAGTAATTTACGCGAGTAAAATCCCCTCCGGCGCTGATGTCACCCAAATGGAAATGGAGACCCCTAAGCTTCACGATCACAATCCTAGCCGAACAACTCTCGGCTATCTTTCTGCTGCATCGACAGAACTGTTTCTCCTCTTTCTCCTTGACGACCCCGTACACGAAGTCGTTGACTCGGAAAAGAAGATTCCTCCGTGCTGAAGCAAGTTCCTGAACGATTGTTCCCACCGGGACTTCGCGCGATAGATCCGGATTCACGCCTGTCTCGGGAAAATTTGCAGGAAGCAGCAGGGTGCAAAGTTCGAGATGAAACTTCTCCTGGCTTTATTGCTGGAGTCTGATAGTCGCCGAGTACGCCTGCAAACGTACTCCGATGAGAACAACAATATAAATCTCTTCCCTCGCGGCGCCTGCTTCCCATGCGCGCCAGCGAAGTTCCATTCCGAGTCGCGGAGTGGAGTATGCCCGAGCCTTCGCACCTCAATTTCCTATTCTAGGGTCGTATCCAGGATCCGTGTTCGATGCTCTTCATCCGACGGGGATCCTGCGTTCCGATCGGCTCCCGGAGGGGAAATATCGCTCGATTCCGTAGAGGATCGTTCATGCACAGGATAGCCCGGCCCTTTGATGCTTACTCAGTCTACCCATGGACCCCATGAATCCGGCTGTCGGACCTATGGGTGTCTGGCCCTAGACATGTAGGCGCAGAGGATGTGTGTTTCGGAGTCAGAATCGGAGAATTCCTCCCCGAGCAGCCACCACATTTTTCTGGGGGAGCCGTTCACAAATTTACGGTATAGGTCAGGCTCTGGAAACTCAGAGTTTGTCAATTTCAAGCGAGAGTGCCGAAACGGATCGACTTCATCTTTAGGCTCTGAGCTTTTTGCCTCGGCCAATAATATTTGAACGAATAGATGGGAGAGTGCCGAGGAGCTCAACTCTTCCGTCGAGAAATGGGACTCGTGAAAAGGAAGAAAGGCATAGATCGGAGCCATGGGAGCCTCCTGGGCACCCTGGGAGCCGCGAGAAAATTCTGGGTTCCCCGGGGAGCCGCCATGTCAAAAATGTCGGGGACCGCTTGCGTAGAGCATTCCTCGGCTCCGGGAACTCAGGCGGAATGTAATCACTTAATTCCACGTCTCGCGGTGCTTCAAAACTTCGCGTGTCTAGCAATTTATTTCAACTTCCCTCCAGGCTGCTTGCCCTTGAGACTGAAACATTATTAGAAATGTTTATCGCTCAAACTGCACGCCTCAGGATGCGTTCTTCCTCTATACCTGGTGCCTGATTCCTATTGGGTCAACGAATCATGAGGAGCGCCTGCCCACCACATTCCGGTCAGGTTCTATGAAACTCGACCTTGTCAAGTCGATTTTCCTTCTGTAGGCCGTGAAGACGCGTCCTTGAAACTCCACGAATGGGGACACCGTCGCCACACATTCGATTGCGCGGCATTCTGTCGAATTCACCTGAAAAAGAGAAGTTTGCCCGGTCGGGGCGACCATCGACTCGCTTTTGCATCCAATCATGCTCTATCTTCTCACAAGAAGTCTCAACTACCTTAAAGTGGCGGGTGGAAGGTCCAGTTTCGCTCCTCGTGCAGACGTCGGAAACTATGCCGGGCCGCTTATGACACACAGATATACGGAAACCGCTCACAGGCCCATAATCATAGACCCAGCTCAATTCGGACCGCTTATCGTCCCATGAGAGATGGATCAGGCGATCCGGCTCATTTCTGAAGATCGGCAGAGGCAAGCTGAAGTCTTCGAAGAACCCGATCTTTCCGAAACAAGCCAGGATGTAAACTTCGTAAACAAACCACGGCTCGCGCTCAATCTCCAACACACTTCCCTTCAACAGAGTACGAATGCAAGACGTGCGAGGGTTCGAAGAGTTCCCGCTGAAGCCCTCACCGCCCAGAGGGACGCGATAGCGGCAAACAGAGATGTGGAACTCGAGCGCAGGCGGAAGATCTCGGTATCCTTCCTTGTCGAGATGAAGTCGTACCTTAGTGTATTCAGTGGAGAGAGGAATTAGTAGTCCCCTCTACGGCGGAACGCTCGGTCGGCGTACTTTTGTCGGAGAAGCGTTCCTGATCTCGAATTCTCCGGCTTATCTCTCTCTTCCCAGAGCCAGAAAAGAGATTATAATAATACTTTGGAGTCGAGCCGGGCTCCGAAGGAATCGGAGTCCGAGTCTAGCTTCAGGGAAATGGAATATTGGAGCTCCGGTGCTCCTCATATATCATCTTGGGAAACCATGGGATATTTTCCTAAATTGAAACATCGAAGAGCTCCCCTCGATATCAATCATTCTTACCAGGGACTCGTCGACCTTTTCTTCGACGGCAACGGTCTCGCGGGGGATAAATTCAGCTCTCGGAACGAAAAACGATGCTGTCGCTCGCGGGCTTGCGAACACCGTTCCGGAACTCGTTCTCACGGCTTGAACGCTGATCGATTGGAATCCGTGTATTTTGCCGTAATCGAAGTCCATCCCAGCGTCCGCCGGTGCCACACTTTGGCTGCTGCACTGCTTTTCCACGCAGTTGGTGACGAGATAATAATCAGGCTTCACCGTCGCACCGGTGTAGTTCCAGGAGAGACCTTCCGAATCGAAACGCGTCTGAGCGGGGACTAGTGCCTTTCCGGTTTTTCCACCTACACATGTGTCGAGATGGATTCAGCTATCGATTCCAAGGGTTGCAGACGTACGTGATCTGGTGAAAGTGAGTGACGATGGGGCCTCGATTATTCCTGCCGACTCAGGGAGCTCCAGAGTGCCCATCTTGGTGAATCCTTGATTGCCGTGACAGCTGCCAGAGAGAAATTCAGGTGAGAACTTGGGCGATTCCGAGCATTTGATCGGTAGTCATTCTAGGGCTTGACGTGGTTGCTCGAGCGATTCTCGGATACGCTCGTCAGTGAAGTCGAGCTATTTCATCAAAAACTCACACGACTAAGAAGCGATATATTGCTCGATGGCGTGTCCAGGCTGCCAGGGACACATTGACAACGGGATTGTAGCCCGGCTGGAGACTCCTCCACTTCCGGTCGCACGGGCCGCGCCGGCCGCAAATCATATACTGTAACTGGAGGTTGTCGATGCTTAATTATTCGCGATTGCAATGCTCCCGTCCGAGCCGCTCAAGAAATCAGCTGCGGTTCCAATCCGCTCCCACATTCTAGGATACCTGGGCAAAAAGTTCGTTGTCGACCGAATTATGCCCCAGCGAGAACGACAGCTGGTAATTCCCTTCTCCGAAAGCTTTGTAGGCTGCCGAAGCCTTGAGGTGGAGAGTGTTGGAACGGCATGGCATCATGCGCTTCGCTTCCCCCACCGAGGCGTCGTATCCCCCCCGCGGGATCCATATCTCGGACTCGGTCTTGCTCCTCTCGTCGGCCGAATACCTCGTCTCGATCACGCAGTGTACATCGAGGTTCCCTACGGAGGGAAGAGCCATCGATTCTGCAGAGCCGCTGAGGTCAAGGTTCATGATCGTAGAATCTAGGGCGCATGAGACGTTGTGTGCGTAGGGTTTCGGCCATGCGGGATTTTCCCACGAGATATTGAGCTTGGACTGCAGGAACGACGTCAGTTCTAGGGTCGGTAGTTTCGTCGGGAACGTCTTGGTTTCGCGAACAACTGCCTCAGATAGAGCCGATTTATCTTCAGGAGTTCCGTAGAACGCTGAAACCTGGATCCGATAAATTGTCTCCGGATTTAGCCCCGATACTCTTAACTTCGAATCGGGGGCGAATTTTTCGAGAACCTCCTCGCGGAAGGGGATGATCCCCCGGAACACTGTTGCGACGAATCCGTCCGCGCTCCGAGAGGTCCACTTGATCTCGATGGCGGTATCCGTCAGGACTGAGATCTCAAGATTTTCGACGGGAGGTGGCGCTTTCTGCGCAGCCGTGCGACCCTTGAGCTCGAAAGTAGAATTTTCCGATGTTGATAATACGAATCTGTAAGTCGTCCGCGGAGGCAGATCGTTCACTGCGAGCGAAGTTGTCGTGGAATCTAGAAGGTACGGTGTGTCCTCTTTCACTGATTCGTGCTCGAGGTAAACATGAGCGTCGTAGTGCTTGCACGAGTCGCACTTCGTCCAATTGAAGATGATGTCACTTCCAGAAGGGCGCACTTTTTCCTCTGCACGCAAATTCCGTTCCGGGTCCGCTCCACGGGCTGTCAAAATCGGAATAGCGATCAGGAGCGAGGAAACCGTGATCAACACATGGTCATACAACATCTTTGGGGACATAGACGTGTTCTGCCGGGAGTGGAATGGTTTCGTATATTCTCTGATTCCGCTGAACTCCTCCTTTTAGCGAGAGGACCCTGTATAGACCAGTAAATGCAACACCGCTGCCGTCTCAGTTCAGCCGAGAATTTCCGAAGAAAGCCTGATCGTTCGTTTACATACAACGAATTTCGTGGAAAATCGATCTGCCTAGTTTCACGCAGCTACCCGAGGAGAATCTCACCACAGAGCATTGGATGGATCTCAGAGAGACATCGGAACAATACCAAAGAGACTGGCTGTGGATTAGATATCGCGGCAGATCAGGAAACCCTCCCGCCTACCCCGAGTCCCCACCCGCCAGCTTCGTCAGACGCTTCGATACCGAGCGATTTGAGAACTCGGAGAGTACGCGCTCGCGAGCATTCTCGGGATAGGTCGTGCGTTAACGTAAAGAAAACACATTTGCTCGTGGAAGGCATTTATTGTCGTCCAATTTGTTTTTATCGACTTAGTGAGCCTTCTTGACGGCCAAACGCTTGTCTCTCTCCTCAGCGATCGAGAGCTTGACGCCCTTGCCCTTGGGCAGCGATACCCATGGCTTGGATCCCTTTCCGATGACGAAAATGTACGATTGCCTAGAAAGGTGAGAAAGCGACTTCAATCTTGCGATCTGATCGGGAAAATGGTATCTATTGCTGCGATACGGAGCACACGACGATTCCTCCGGATGGAGCTCGTCGATGAATGCATGTTTTGAACAGAAAGGATCAATAGATTTCCGAAACATCTTTCGTTCAGTGAAAATGTTCACAAAGTGGGTAATGCATCGTAAGCATGTGACCAATACGATACGACCTAACAGTGCGAGTTTTTTATTGGGTCATTCTCACCGAAGTTGATCTGTTCAAACCGACTTTGGCTATCATAACCCGAGGATTCCAGAGCGGAATCCTCGAAGGCTCACCTGGTGGCGAAGGTGTGTCCGCTGGAATCCTTGATGTGGACGATGTCGAAAGATCCAGGATGTCTTTCTCTGCTGGTAATGATACCGACTCGCCCCAAGTTACGACCTCCGGTAACCATGCAGACGTTTCCGGTATCGAACTTGATGAAATCGTCGATCTTGCCGGTGGCAATGTCAACCTTGACAGTGTCGTTGGCCTTGATCAATGGATCGGGGTAACGGATGGTACGACCGTCGTGGAGTACCAAGAAGGGGATCTTTTTGGGTCCGACGCTCATTTTCTTGACGCGGCACAGCTTGTACTGGAAGAGAAAGAACAACTCGGTGAACTTCCCGTTTGAAGCATCGGGAGATAACTCAAAACCGCGGTTTACAGAAGATAGGCTAAGATTATTATCAATCATGTCCTCGAAGTGGGTGATGCTCAGCCGACATGTCGGATCGGCCGAGCGACCATCTTAGAGTAACGATTTCGGGAGCTTTTTGACTATTTTTGATCTTCGCCGAACAGAAAACAGCTTCGATAGTCCCTTTCCACCGCGAATGAATGAGCTTCGGATCAAGGAATAGATGAATGTTCTCTCAAAGGGTAATGCACGAGTTCGATGCGGGAAGATTCTCATGCGACCGTTTGAGAGGCTTTTTATCGGGATATATTTGACTATTCTTGTCCTGAGTGACAAAGAACAGCTTCGATTATCCCGGGCTCGAGAGAGCCATCGAACTCCGCTAGGGGGCGATGAGCGAGGTCTCTTCCCCCCACTTCTTTCATCTATCTTGGAGATAGTTTTCTGTCTCTACCGTAGGTTAGTTACGTGCTTCAGATGAGGAAACACAAAACGACAATAGCAGATACTCCTTCTTTTATGGGAGGGTGTATCCCTGAGAGCATGAGGACTCCCTGAGATTGGTGATTATTACTCCCAAGAGATGATCCTCCCGAGGGGACGGGTCACTTGCACCTGGTTGCTCGACTCACCTCTGCCTCCTCGGCGGTGATGCGGTGGAGGATGAAACGTCCCTTGACATCGTAATGGATCCGGAAGAATTCTCCGGTCTTCTCGATGGAGACAACATCCATGAATCCCGTGGGGAAAGTGGCGTCGGTACGAACCTTACCGTCGACCTTAATCAGACGCTGGTTGACGATCTTTGTAACCTCAGATCCGGTCAGAGCGTACTTGAGCTTGTTACGGAGGATGAGGATGATTGGCAGCGACTCGCGGAGTTTGTGAGGTCCAGCGGACGGTCGGGGAGCCTACGACAGAGAAGCGATTGGACTTTCGAATGCCGCGTGTCGAGCCAGGAATGCCGGACACAAGGAACGAGCGCAGCGGGACCGGGGTCTGGCCGTTTCGCTCGCCGGCTCGATTCCTCAGTCTCAGACGATCACGAAAGGAGCGTTCTCGAGTGATGGTCAAATTGGATACTTACGAACACTCCGCCGAGTTTGTCCAGAAGCCATGACTTCGGGGCATTCAAACGCTTCAAATGCTTCTTGAGTCCGCGAGCCTGGAAACCAGACAGTGTTAGAGCGACCTCAGAGATCACGGACCGGCACAATCGGCTCGCTTCGGCGAGCTTTCACTCTCCGAAGAGTTTCTTTAAGGTTGTTTGGGAGATCCACGTTGAGCGGCGAAAGCAAGCCGCTGCCGAACACAAGTTTACTCATACACTCGGATTTCACGGAGAGATTTCCAGCGCAGACGTTTCGTTCGTCTAACTGGTCCACTAGGAACTTCATACGACGTGTTTCAACACAAATCACCGGTTAGAATCAATGATTCCCGAGGATAAAATCGATCCACAAACCTACCATGATCGCAGCCTGTTAGAAAAGACCGAAACCGGAACTGGGAATATTATTGTTCACTCCGAAGGCAGCATGGCAGCCTGGCGCCATTTTCGAAAGAGCGCGGGCTCATTCGAATTACTGCTCAGCCAGAGAGAGCAAAACAGTGGGAGGCGAATAGATTCTGAGTTCTGAGTCCCGGTCGGGACATCGTTCATTCGCCGGTCGGGGCAGGACGAGACTGCGAAAAAAGACAACGCCCGTCCTGAGCGACGAAGAGCCCCGTCTTGAACGAAAAAGAGGTCCGTCATGAAAACGTCGAAAGAGCTCACGAAAGTTCCCCCGTGGGGACGAAACCCTCCCTGTCATTCTCCGGGGACTCGAAGGCGATGCAATCCAGCCCATATAAGTAACATCGCTTCATCAAGGGTAATCGAACCCTTAATACGAACGTAGCATCCGATCGGGTCAAGATTGTTAACCGAAAACGAGTCACGAAGTGGAGTGCCGATGTTCATTCACACAGTTGTATGACACTATGCTAATAAGCGATCGCAATCGAGAGCGATGCATCAGGGGGATTCGGGATGGAAGTGCACGCACATCTCACTTATCAACTTGTCTCCGAGGAGGTTCTCTCGAAGAAGAAGTCTCAAAGTAGGGAAAGAGCTCCCCACGTATTGGAACTTCGCCAACACGAGTCTTTCGCAACGCGTACGAGAAATCGAGGCAGCTTACGGATCCGGCGGATTTGTCGAGTCGTCAGGCTCGCCATATCGCGGACTCTGACCGGAGATTCTCCATATTACACGGATATTTCCCGACGCATCAGTGCATGGGCTTTTGATGATTTTTATTGACGGAACTTCTGTCGATTCCCGGTCCTCCCCGAACCTCTCGCACACGTCGAGAAGTCGTACCGACACATTTATGAACAGGTATATACAGCTCGTTTATACAGACCGACGACTCAATTTGGAAAGAACCAGCGCAGGTTTGGTCGCATCCGAACACCTGTCACAGGTACGGCTCTATGTGCAACTGCGCGAACTTGGTCTTCGCTGCCTCCACAATGTGGCACAACTTGGCGATCTCGACCTGAGTGAGGTTCAATCCTCTGGAGCAGTTGGCTTGGGTGAGCAAGAGGAAAGCCGGTCCGTCGATCTCCTCCCTACGCAGAGCTGGAACGGGGATGCCCGAGATTATCGATCCAGAGCGCAAAGATCTGATGCGAGAACTCACTCGTACTCATGCCTCGTAAGAGAGGAAGCGACAACTCACCACTAGCGATTTTCGTGGCCGCAGGGTCATGAAGCGAGATAAATGCAGAAACTTGCTCCACACTCCAATCGAATGGATCTCCGGGCCAGAGGGACTCTTGGTGCGATGGGAGCAATTTCTGAGGCATCTCTGCTGGGTTCGGAGCTTTCATGCGAAGCCGCCCGCTTCGATCTCGGAGTTCCACGCCACCGAGAGCTAGAGCTTTTCAGGGATGAAGACGAGTGCTGACTGCGACCTCAGTGTACCGCGGCTCCGGCGAGCCAACGTCAGGGAGCGAGGATGAGAACATTTTTCTACTCGCGCGAGTCCGAAATTCTCCGTCTGTTCAAAAACCTCCTGTTTGTTTTGGTCTCGGAACAGGCGAACGGAGAGAGAGGGCAGGGCTCTATGATACGGCCCTCTGCTCGATATTGGAACTCCTCCGGAAGCGGCATTTTCTTCGAGTAGACTCTGGGAAGGATATCGATTGCCTCTCAACTCCCAGACTCGGGTTTAGATACGTCTCATCATCGCTCACGTTGGAGTCGATGAGATAGATTTGAATTTTCGGCGCGCAATATCCCCCATATGCGGGAGGCGGCGATCGAGAACTGGGAGAGCTGGAGAAAAGGCCCTGATTGAAGGAAATTCCTCTTTGGATCACGTGACGGCTGTAACAATATGGCACGGAAACTCGGGGTACGGACGAACTGGGCTCCCTCGCTTCCGACAGATGATGATTTCTGTTTGAGGTGCTGCAGACCTGGGGAACGCGCGGTCGTCCGCCATCGTGTTGAGAAATCCTTTTTTCTGCCTGAGATTTCGCGACGAACAGAGGGAACAAGAGGAGTTAGGGGGAAACTGTGACTCGCGCGTCGGGGCTCGCAGATATTGCCCTCCCTCTATCTGTTGAGCTAGCTAATCACGCATCAGGGAGAATCATTGATCTCTTGCAAAAGGGTACAGCCGAAGCCGCTCGATAGGCGCCGGCGAAGTCATGGAAATCAAGATGAGCTCCGGCATATATGGTCAGTATGGCTCAAGATCGTCGACAACTTCAGGATTATTGAAGTCCGTCAAATCATAGGATGTGGAGCCCTCAAATATGAGGTCAATCTTGAGTCTATGCTGGACCTAGGAAAAAAAACACTATGGATCGCATCAATGTACGCCACCCGTATTTACAAAATCGGCTTAGCTCTAGAAACAAAGTGTTGTACACTTTCTACGGTAAGACTTCCAGGAGCCGATTCCGGCAGCTTTCGACGGAAGTAGTTCTCGAAGCAGAGTGGAGGAGCTCCCTAGCTTTCTCAATCGGGTCCGAGACCCGAAGGAACTTCCAGACGAGCTCGCATGCCCGTTGATTCCGACTCCGAGTGTACTGTCCGATTCCTGCGGGATCAATTTGGCACCTCACACGATTGAGCACTTTGACTTTGTGCTCTCCCTCTTACGCTCTCGGCAGCGATTGGCTTCGTCGGCGGTTCCTGAGGAAACTCTCGAAAATACTGTCCGGTAGTTGAGAGTTCAGGGTTTCCGGCAGGAAGAAAACTAGAACGGTCGCCAAAAAAGATCCGCTACCGACTATAACGAAGCACCATTTCTGGTTGGACACCGATGCGAGCGCCTGAAAGAGAACGACACGGATAAGGCGTCGGCCCCAAGATCGACGCAATCCTCTCAGAGGATGTCGGTGGCGTAGCGGATATGCCCAATGCTGGATGAATCCAGGTTTCGACTGCGTACCAAGTCTCGGATGAAGGGCGCTAGCATGCCTCCGATTCGTCCGACTGCGAACGCGAGTGCAAAGCCCAGGGATCGTATGTTTGTCGGCAGCAGCTCGAGAGTGTACACCCATTTGATGGACGTCGCCACCGTCAGGAAGAAACGAGTTACAGAGCTCAGGGCCAATTTCAGAGTTGGCTGTTCTGAAATTACCGAGGTTCGAGCTTGATTCAAGCTCTCGACCGTAAGATGAGAGTGGATTTCCTTTCTTCGCTCAAGTCGTGCTTGAGCGATCTGCTTACTCAATGAGAGGAACGCGGTGGCGATCGAGCAGGCCGAGCCGATCGCGAGGGAGCCGGCCATCGACGATCTTCGATTCAGGAACCTCAGAAGGAACATGCCGACGATTCCTGCCGGAATCTCGGCCGCGGCGCCTATCGCGAAGGTGGTTCTCGGATCCAAGTCTGTTGGAGGAGAGGCAATTATCATCATCATGGATCACGATGCCCGACGATTATTTTCTCCCCAGCGCATGACCCGAAGAGCTCCCGGGAATTTTACGTCGCGTCGCGGTTCACCTGGGATGTGCGCCGAAAGAAAAATATCGGCGTAATAGATTCCGTTTTCCACGAGCCAGTAGAGTAGAATGATGATCAACTGGCGCCTCAACCTCGGATTGCCGAGCAACACTAGAATTCCTTGCGATTCCGAACTCTGTGGCGGAGGGATAATCGCTCAGTATTTTTTCTTCACTCCTGGATCATCGCGGTCAATCAAGCGCAGCCACCTCCGATGGAAATTCAAAATAGATTCCTACCTGCGATCGTTCAACGAGGCTGCTCATGACGTACGTGAAATTTGGAATCGAACGGCGATTGGTGGTGAAAATCGAGTTCAACACTTCTCGCGCTTCCAGAGTTCGCTTCTGATTCACCAGCCATCTCGGAGACTCCTCAACAATCCTGGAAGGTCAGAGGGGGTGTGTCTCGACTTTTAATTCCGAAAGGGGTGAGAACCCTCAAATTTCGAGGCTCTGACAGCGTAGGATGCAAGCGATTCCACCCATCACGGTCGCTCGTTCATTAACTCAATGAGATCAACATAAGTTAAACGTTCTAAATCGTTGAGCATCCCTAAGATGACTCACAACAATGGTGGTAAGATGCACAGCGCGCAAAGACCGCAAACGAGTTGGAAAAGTCTCCACGAATTCAGAGCCTGACTCACGAAAGGCACGGCTATTGTGCAAGCTGCGAAGGCGATCGTGAAGCCGACGTTCATGAGGTAACGGTCGCGAGGCAAGAGGAGCTCCATGACTGAAATCAAGAGAAGAAGAGACCGATCAACAGATGATCGCGTATAACATCATCAAACATTTCGGGGGTACTTTCGTGAACGCCTCGGATATATCCGCCTCCGTCTAGAGCTTGAGTATCTAAAGCATGAGATTGCAAGCGGAGAACTTCAGAATGAGGAATATTATAGCTCAGCTCACTCACAGAGAGCAGCGCTAGTGACCTGGATGCCAGCCACGGCAGCGGCTTGTACGAATCTCAAGAGATTGAAAGCCCACAGTTCAGGCACCACTGAAGATCCGATGGCGAAAACCGCGAAAAGAATCGTGCTCACGAGTAGGCTCTTGCGTCTCCCCTGCCTGCAACCGAGTCCGCTCTTGAGTTCAAATGATTTCGCCTAGACCATAACTGGGCCCGGAGATACTATGCTCCCCTGCTCGAGTTTCGCCTCGAGCTAAATGATGAGTTTTAGCATAGTATTTATTTTTGTTAGATGATAATGGGCTACTATCTACCAATCCGAGAGCAAGCCGAAAACGATTGCGCCTACGAAGCAGCCCGCGAAGACAAGGGTCTGCATCGCTGAGCTGATCCATCGCTTCTGACAGACTAAGTTCCACTGAAAGATATCGGAGAGAAAGGTTACGAGAAGTCCGACAGAAGCTCACAGTCTGCTCGAAATCCGACGCCATGTCATGATAACGAGTTCTGCGGAAAACCTCCTAAAGGTGAAGAAGCTGAGAAAAAAATTCGAACATTCTTGTCCATTCCCGGCTTTCACCTCAGAGCTGATATCAGGTTCCCGGAAAAACGGGCATCGAGAGCTTGTCACAAACGGAATTATTCACCCGAACAACAGGAAACTGTAGAAAAGAGCGAATCAGAAACAATCCGATGTGTTCGTTCCTGTCGCCACTTTACCATTTTCTCGCGATCGCTGACTCATCGACTTGGATTTCTCGACAAAATCGCGACTATTTCTGACGTATCAGCACAGACACTTCCATTCGCGTCAAACTAATTCTGTCCTTCAACTGGCGGGACATGTTCTGTGTTGACAGTTTGAAATAGGTACCCACTTCCGACTTCTACTCGCTTGAATTACGACTCCCATCCGACACAGCACGTTGGGTCACTTTAGTTTTCACTTCCCACGGACCGGAGGTCGTTCCTAGTGGTGACTTTGATCGATAGATAGTCGACGAAGTTCCTTCCTCAGCTGGAAAAACTTACGCGCCTTGATTGAGAGACATTCCGACTTACCTCGGGTACGACCGACCAACGAGTCTCAACTGTGCCGTACGTGAAGTTCACGCAATCCACCCAAACCGAGGTGTCGATATGCGTTCCATTCGTCGGATGGACGAGGCATTCCTGGACACTCTTGCCGAAATGAATGGACTGGAAATTCAGAGCCGAACTTCAAACGAGTTCCTTGCGCAAGTCGATCATAATAAACTTCTTTCCATCACCCAACAGAAGTTGGTCTGCACATCTAGTCTGTAGAACTCCAGTCACGGTATCCGATAGACATCGTGCCGGGCATTTCCCCTTACTTCGGCGAAGCTCCCTCCGGTGCACGATACGTTGAAATCTCCCGTCAGAAAATCGATGCCGGTCAGCGTCCAAGCGGATGGCAGAGCCCGTAGGACAGTGACCAATAGCACGATGAAGTGGTAAATGCCAAACTCGCCGATCACGTCACTTATGTCGAGCAGCATTGTCGTAGCGCTTCCGTTACCAACGTTGTTATTTTTCTCTCCGCTCGCTTTTCGCGTGGAAAAAATCGCTCAATAACTCGGCCTCGGTCCCGAGCACAAGATCAATCGTGATTCCCACCTAGAACCATGGTATCACTCCAGAACGACGGTAGCGTCGGAAGCACAGACGGAACCACCATGTCGCTAATAGATGTGATGGTGTAAGCCACTGAATGTTCTCCTAGCAGAGCACAGCGAGTAATCATGCCAAGGAGAGAGCACTTGACGTTGATCGCGGCACCGAGCCGCCGCCTAGTTTGACTTAGATTCAGCCACTGATACGAAACTCCGCGATGGATTCGACTGTCGAGGCAAGGGTAACTCCGAATTTACCACAAGTGTTTCGATCCACAAAGATATCCCCCCTGACTCCAGGTCTCCAAATCGAGGGTCTTCCCCAGCCACAGCTCGATCCTTGCTCGTTGAGCACTCGGGGGCTTCCGGGTATCGGATCACAGTCCCGCAACAGGTCTCGGTCCTCCGGAATTTCTCGTGGTTAGTCGTCGATCTACGGGAAGCAGGTATACGGTGCGCAAGACCCCAATCGACACACGTCTCTCAGCGCTCGTACCGGCGATTAATTCTCGATCCGTTGAATCTCTGTTTTTCCCTCTCATTCGAGCTGGAGAGTAAGACGGCGACGGCCGTATGCACGGATGGACGAACTAGCCAGTTTTGACGCACGCTCAGAACGACTGACTGACGGACGGACTGACTGACAGACCGGTCGACCGACCGACCGGCTCTCGGATACACGGACTAATAAGAGACGAGCGAACGGACGGGCGAGCTCTATCGCGCGCCGCTAAACAAATGTCTATGAAAATAGCCTTTGAGAAAGGCTTCGATAAACAGAACAACGCGCCGGTCTCTCGCCGATTCGTTGCTCACTCACAATAGACGGACGCTAAACGCAAAACCCTCACGCCGCGCCGTGCGTTGTCGACTGCTTGCCTTTGTGGTGGCTGCTCGAGAGGCGGGCAAGGCGGGCGGCGGAGTAGACATATAGATCGCCTCCGCCCGTGGGGAACGGTCCTCTCTGCTCTCTCTGAGGAAGAGAGTGAATTCCTCATGAACCTCACTCGTTCTCCGGTCGGGAATACGACTCCCCGCAAGAATGACGCCATGCTATCTCGTCCGATGCACTGGTAGCTGCAGACGTTCACGCGAGGGAAAATGACATTCGCCGCATGAATCTAGCGAGGGATTTTCCTCCAAGTTCTTCTCTGAGCCGAAGGGGGATAGTTCGATCCGCCCATCGTGGACGGAGAAGGACACTCGGACATCGAGCGGAAACGCGAAATGTATCAAACCATCTCCCGTCTCGAGAGCTTACGAGTATACCAAGAGGGATCCCTGTGAAAGTGTTTTTGTTCGAGGTTTACATTACTCGAGTCATTAGGTCATCCTTAGTCATCAAGTCATGGATGAACTTCGATGCTTCATCATTTCATCATTGTGGCTCTATGCTGAAGAGAGTCGGCTCCTTCAATCTGTCGTGTCGACTTATGTACATACATAAGTCGCGGATAGAGAGTTCGTGTTCTCGTCGCGATGACTGCCGTCTTCTTCAATCTGCTCACAAGACGCGAGTCGGGCTCCAATCGGTACTCTCTCCAGGCCATGAGCTCCTGACGCAATACGACAGGAGAAAATCGATGCTTCGGCGGGTCGAGAACCAGACGGGGCGTTCAATTTCCAAATGGCATGGTCGGCCTGCTCTGACGGAAGACCGCGGCAGATTTCTTCCACCAAATCTCGGGTTCGTTCGGAACACGACGGCCTATCCGCGCGCGCGTCGAGTGCGGAGCATGGGAGCTCGGTCTCTGATCTATTTCTCTCTGGAAAACGGAAAAACTCGCCTCCGCCGTTTCGCAGCGTGGAGCCCCGCATAATGAACACCTTGGCAAGCTTCAGGGGTCAAAGCCACGCGGATCCCCCGTCGGTCCTCTCTCACTCAGTATCGTGACTCCGGGCGGCCCGCCAAAAGATATCCGAACGAGTCCTCCGCTCCTGAGAGAGAAGCGCTTCCCTCAGATTTCCTCCTCTCCAACGAATGAGCTGAGAGGAGCCGATGTTGACGCTAGCCGCTCACTCAACAGTGGCCCCCATTTCCTGAGCAAGTGTGAGAGAACGGGGGAACGAAAACTCATCAGGATTACTGATGGGGTTGCACCGGTGACCGCTGGGAGCGAATTCTGTGAAAGGAGGATGGAGATCGAAGTCGAAGCTGAGCGTCCACCGTCTTCCCATCGGAATGCTTCTAACCCCCACGGCGACGGGACCAGACCGAAGAAAGGCCGAATACCTCGCTCGAAAAAGAACGCAAGCGCGGAAAGATCTCGGAAAACTCATTCAAAACCCAAGATATTCCGGTTGCTTCGTTCCCGCGGAAGGTTAGTGTAGCTGGCAGAGAGGTCGACCGAGGGGTCCGAGAGTCCGAGGCTCCTGCGTCGAGAAAAGACGGACATGGGTCCCCCAGACGCAGGGTTGATGAATTTGGAGGGACTTCACTCAGCACGCTGCATTTGGAGCAAGTCGAGTTGCGTGAATTGAGAGAGACGTTGGGACTGCCCAGAGAATCGAGAGGAGACCTGAGCTCCGAATCGAATCCTATTCATCATGGGGTTCGAGTAGTCTCAGGGCGAGAATCTCTGTCGCGAAAAGCGCGTCCGAGAATCACTCTAATTGAGTCTTCCCTTTGCAGGCTGTCGGACTACAAAACAAAACTCAGTCAATATCTGTTGGGCTTAATCAGTAGGAATGCTTTCTGCGCGTTTCTGTCGAGCGCTCTGCGGAAGTCGGAATTGACTCTCCACAACGAATTTATCCTCGGGGTTGTGCGCGAAGTAAGTTCTCCTCACGTGAAGCGATCGGAGCTCCGCTGTCCATCGCTCGGCCGGTCGTCCTAAGCCTCCCATGAATTTTATTATTTCCGAACAAGGTGCAAGCGCCGAGCTTCTTTCAGCGTATTTGATGATTCTCTCATCGGTCTCACGTGATCGACCTCAGTATCTAATACAGGGTACCTCTTATTTTCGCAGGGGCGTGGGAGGAAGGAGAAGAGGGAAAGATCGGCTGACGAGGACCAAAACTCTTCTTCACAACTCCGCAATGCATCGGAAGAGAGGATTCCCCAAGGGAGCTCGTGTGAGTTCCCCAGGGATCGGGATGGGTTTGCGAGACCTCACCCCGTCGCGAAGACAGAACAGCCTTCATGGCGGTGTCATGAGAGGAGCAGCAGCACGAACGGTAGATCCCTCGAAACTGGCGGATCCGGCGAACAGACAAGAGACCTTCGGAGTCCATCCCCCTGCGCCTCGCCAGCTGGGAGTGTTGCACTCCCTGAGACCCTGATGAAAAACATTGAAGGTCTGGACGAAAGCTCCCTCGAGAACTTGCTCCGGGAAACCTCAATGATCTCCCAACTCCTAGAGCAGAACGACATTCAGCGAGCTCAACTCCCTCAAAACCAAATATCGACAGGATCTTTCATACCCACCGATAACTCATTTCATCATCAGTTCCAATCGACTGCTCCGCAGACTGCTCCTGCCGACCTAGTGCTCATGGGCTCGCATCCAACCCAGACCGACGCAAGCCTGAGCATTCCCCTCTGTTGGGGCACGGAGAGTGACGAAAGACATTTCGGAATCTCCGTTCAGCCATCTCGTTTCGATCAACGATCGAGGGTCATTCCAGCTACTTCCCAAAACTTCGTCAACCAATTCACTTATCCTCAATCAACAGACCTAGCTCCAGTGCAGGCTGGTATCTGTGTCAATCAGGAGGCAAAATATACGGGCGACCATCACCAGAACCAGGCCTCGTCTTCGAGATACGGGGTGTTCGCGGAAGCTTTCGGTGGCCACCAACCGAGAGTCCCCGACGCTCCGAATCGTTCAACGTGGTGGCACACGATTGACGCCCCCCTCCCTGGCCGGAACTTCCATATGTTGGGCGCGGAATTCAATGTGACCAGCCACGAAAAATCGAATATGTGGGCACAACAGTTCCTCCAATCGAACGAGGAGAATGATTACATTTACACATCATGAGCTCTAGACCTGTCAGCGCTCGTCTCCATCACGAGGGTCGAAGAAAGCGACATCAAGAGCCCTCCTCGTGTCGATTCGTCCATCGACTGGCTCCCGTTTGGCTAAGTCGCCGCTCCCCGGCCGAAGTTTGAGGACCATTTTGTGGGATGAGAGCGCTTCCACGTCGATTTGCTGCCTATTGCAGCAGGAAAGTGACAAGCTACCGCGATGGATCATGTGAGCGAATGGAGTCGGGGACTTCGTGTTGTGAATAATTGGCTTTTCGGCCAGTCTGGCTGATTCTCGCATTTAGCGTCGGGAGACGAGGAACACGTCAAGTCATCCGCGAGGATATACACGGTACGGCTCCGGAGCCAACGAGACCTGATAAGGTGAAACAGTCGTGAAATAATGAATTTCGAACTGTGTCTTGGACCAAATAAGAGCGCACAGCTTTAATTAAATCATGAATCTCGAAACGGTACTCTAATCAAGAGTTCAGCGAATTCTACATCTCACATCGTCGACGTAGGCCGACGGATCTCGCATCAGAGGAAACGGGAGATTCGACTTTTTGTATACGAGCGGGAGGTTTGTTCTCCTGGAACCTTGGTCTTCGTGAATAAAAAGAGGGTGGTTTGTGAATCTCGAACTCGAGGCGGAAATCTTTTTCGAGAGGCCGGCTCGTGACTTGCTCAGAATGAAATCCGATTCGAGGAGGTCGATGGAGTACGGCGTGGTTTGTCCTTCGGGGTGTGGTTCCGGAGTGTGGCTTGAAATCTCGATCGGAACCTCATCTTGAACGGGCGCGCCCAGGGCCGGAAGAGGAAGAGGCACTTCAAGGAATTCAATCTTCTGCTATGGTCAGCAGTATTTCCGGTTTTATTCTTCACATTCCGACGTATTTACAACTCAGAGGAAGTCCCTCGCTGGGCCACCAATCGAGAATCCGGTCAATCAGGCGTTTTCCTTCAACGCATTGAACGCGTCGAGAATCGAAGCCGCAACCTGGTCCGTCGGAAGATTCTCATCTTGCTTCTCATAAAACTCGACCAGATCTTCCAGGCGCTTCCGGTCGATTTGAATAATTCTGCGAAATGAAAAAAACAAGCGTGAATTCAATCGTCAGATAGCGGAGTGGTGGGCGGGGTGGGCTCCGCGCATGGGGATCCACAAGATCTCAATGCCCCGGGGCGCACAACTGTGACCTAGATCGATCTGGCTCTCCACGATTGACGTATTCCTCCATTTTCGAGAGAAGTCCAGCCCAGAGAAAAGTATTCGACCTTGAATCGGAGAGCACGAACTTCGAACCCTGCGCGATCCGCCAAGGAAGTCGAAATCGAGCACCTAGACCAGGGGTGGGCAACTCACGGCTCGCGAGCCGCAAGCGGCCCCTTCCGGAATTCGCGTTTTTCGAATAATTAATTAGCTACCGAATGATCCATCGACACGCTGGATGCGGCCCGCGGTTGCGGCCTGCGGGCCGCGCGAAGTTGCCCACCCCTGACCTAGACCATTTCGACCAGGGGTACGACAGAGGAACCGTTCGCTTATCGGAACGAAGAGGAGCCCTAGCGAGCTGATCCCGCGCAGCGAAGAAATCGCGGATTGAGGGTCGAGCTTTCGCGACGAATCCGATATCGATTGGTGAGAGAATGAAGCGTTCGGAGCGATAAAATTGTTCTCTTACTTTTCGAGTCGTTCTCCATGGAATTTCAATACGGCGTCAGCTTTGATAGCCAGCGCTCTCTGCTCGTCTCTCCTCATGATTGCCGTGTCCATTTCGTCTTGGAGAGCTTTGACTCGGAGTTTCAGATCCTCAACCTGTCGGTAGCAAAATTCATAGCTTGCTCCGTACGAAAATAGGCTCGGCATAGCGCCGACATGCATGAAGCTCCCCCATAGAATAAGTCGCTTCGAACAGGATTCGGGAGGTACTGCATGATCAGGGGGACTCACCTCTTTTTCTGCGAATTTGATGAGATTGTCCGTGTTCTTGAGCGCTTGGCGCTTGCTGAGTATTTCCGCGTCCTTTTTCGCCAAACGAGCTTTGTAGAACTCGATCTGCAGAGCAAAAATCATGGTCGCACTCAGCTCGTTGTCAGAGATCACTCTTTTGTTCCTGGATGAGGTTCGAGATGATCAGCACAAACTAATCGGAATTTCTCCAGAAGGCGAGCCTCCCTCACCTGTTCATCGACCGCTGCCTTGTCCTGCATCGCAAAGTCCACCGCAGTCCTGAGTTCATTTTTCTTCTCGGTGAGCTCAAACAACTGTAGCTCCATCCGATTCTGGAACTCGGCGATCTACAAAAAGCATGGATCAATGATGGAAGTAGTATAGGAAGAAAAAGACACCTCAATGATTCCAAGGAGGAAACCAGCTAACCTTTTTCATCCATCTGTCCTCTTCGATCTCAAGGGTCGCCAAGAGCTCTTCGCTCCGTTGAGGCTCGCTGATGGTTTCGGTCACCTGCTCTTTTGTTTTTGGAAGCTCCGCCGCCGTCGGGAGCTCTGCTATCGCGGCCGCGATGTCTGCGCAAAGGGACTCGATGACACCCTGGAGAATTCGATTAGATCCTTGCACGAGTTCGATTCGGGAGTTGACTTCGTTTATTTTCTGCTGGATGACATTGTTGTGTTCTTCGAGGTCTGCGGAGCAATATCTAGGGTGAGAAGACGCATTCTCTGAGTCTCGGAAAGTGAACTAGAGAGCACGGGTACGATCGACGCCGAGGGATCCGGGAGCAGCTCCAGTCGACGGCTTCCGAACCAGATAATAATGATAACAATATAATAGTAGCCCATCGAAAGAACTCTTCCTGCGGCTGAAGACTTTGAGTTTCGCGCACGAAATGAGTCCGGACTCCGGACGCGAACTTACCTTTGGACTCGGCCCGGATCTTCCGAATGTCTTCCCGCGAAATCGACTGAGCGTCGACGATCTTCCTCGTTTCACTTATCTCTTGCCTAAGGCGGGAAAGTTTCTCTTTCACGGCAACGATCGATTCACGGATTTGACGCAAGTCATCTTCTTTCAACTGCTTTCTCTGTTGCATCTCCATCTGCAAGAAGGGCAAGCCTTGAAGGTCACCCGTCTCGAAGCCACTTCACGGAAACATCGTCGATGTCGAATGGAAAGGGGGGCTTCGAGTCGTCTGGTTCCTGAATTAATCTGAGACCTACAATAAACTTGCAATGATTTTCACATTCTTCCTGTACGCTTTCCAATTCGGTCTGTTGTATTTCCAGCGCCTGGAGCAACGCTTCACTTTCTTCTTTCTGGGCCAGGACTCGCTGGTGCTCCTCTCTGGAAGGGACAAAGGGTGTTTCGGAAAAAAAGCTCGGGTACCTGACATTTCGAAAAGTGTCCAATGGATCTGAGTCGCCCCAGGATCGAATTCCGACGGGGGAGGCCGAACTCGACAAGAACGACGAGGAACGGAAAGCTGACCTGATTCCGTCCTCATCGAGGATTCCTTTGTTCCGCGCGCAGAGTTCTCGGATTTGTGTCTGAACGTGCGGACTATCCACCGTAACTCCCTTAGCGAAAGTTGACTGAGCTAGCATCTCTATCTGCAGGTCGAATTGATTTGGAGTTTCGTCTCGTGAGAGAAGACGGATGGCTTCTTGATGATCGCAGTCCATCCCGATAGCGATGTCCAGCAAGAAGTCAAGTATACCCATTATCGGACCACCTTTGGAGCTGATGGTTTGTATAGTGGACTTCATAACTTTCTGTGGGTACCCGAGACACTCCATAACAATCGGCACCTCAAGCTCCATCCAGTTGTTGCCCGACGGCGCGGTGTAGTTGGAGAAAATGCATCGCATCAGAGTCGAGAAAATCGTCTCGAATTGACGCGATGTCAACTTGCTCGACGTCAATATGTCGGTCGGAAAGTGTCTCTGAGTGAAGAATTCACGGAGGCGTTTAAATGTGGTCTGGATGAACTCTTCGTTGAAGACCCGGGGATCCTTCTGTTTTGCTTGACCATCTGTGAATCCATACGCGAATCAATTAGTGGACGGGAATCAAAAGCGCCCCTTGGAGTATTTTCGGAATGCTTGGCACATCGGCGGTAAGACGAAAATTTATCGACTGGAGTCCCTCCATAATCTGCTTCGCTCCCCGAATTATCGTCCAGCATTCGATCGCCGACCTGCACCGCCGGGATTCGTCAATGTGCTCGACGTCGATAAAGTTCTTCCCAAGACAAATGAGTCCTCGCCTTAACACTCACACTGTGACATGCGGCTGTTCCCCACAGAATTCCGTGTCGTTTCAAGAATAGTCCTATTGCCGAATCCTCTCCGCGTTGATGAGGGAACACCGGACGAGCCCGGAACATGACTTTCGCGGGGTTTTATAGACTTCCGCAAATTCGCTGCGTTACTTTTGCGATTCATCTTATGTGGTTCACTGATGCGGCGTCGGTTTCACAGCGATCAGACATGGAGCCAGCTACCCGGTAGATCTTTGAACGCAACTTCCGATCTTCGCACAATAATTCGATCAGAAGATTCAGATTGACAGTTGGAGACGACGACCCGCGCCATCGTCGGCCAAGACGAGCTCCTTGATAACGAAACCACTCCAGGATGTTTGGCGGCACTTTTGAATGGAACCTGCGACAGACCTGGGTATCTCAACCGCGGACAAAAGAAGAAATCGGATCCGGACTCTGTGGTGACGATAAAATCGAGCACGATCAAGTCTTCGATTCGGAAGACTCAGGGCTCATATCAAGCCCGGTCGAGAGATCAAGGAGTTCGAAGCGTGCCTTCAAAATAGTTATTCCATGGCCGCCAATACCGGTCTCCATACGTCATGTATGTACGTTGATTGACTTCGATGGACTTAGAAATAGGAGGTGACGTACAGGTCACGTCGTCGGGACAGAATCGAGCTGCCGATTCGTGCTCCGGTTTAGGAATTCAACGTCCTCACGTGCTGCACCGCAAAAGACTGTGCGCGCTCTCTCCCAACGACCGAACCTCAGCGATAAGCCGTGAGCGAAGTCCCTTCATCGTCTAGCCGCAGCTTGAGACCTTTAGACGTGGTGAGTATCGTCAAAGTTTCGAGCTGAATATGTTGTAGAATCGAGAGGGCTCGAGTGTCCAGTCCGGAGAAGTGAGTTCGGGATCCGGTACTTAGGTTGCCCTGGGAAGCTTTTGAAAATACAGGAGAACGAAGACGTCACCGTCAGCTCTATGAAATCGCATGACCTGAGACCTGAGTCCAGACAAACCCTAAAATTCCCGGTGTCCATCAGAACAGCGAGTGTCCTTCGGCACGAACAGAAGAGACAGAAATAGGTACAATTTCAATCCTCGATGACGACAATCATACCGCCACGTATCAGCTACCCCGGTCGGCCTTCTTGTGAGAGAAGAGGAGCGTTCCCTCATCCGATGCATTCGTCCACGCAGATTGGAACTCCGCTCCGGGGTTCTCGTTCGCCTCGCGATGTATCTGCGCTCGGAATGTTGTTCAACTCTACACCTATGCCAAGGGATGAACTTGCACGTACAAAGTAAACAAATCGAGTCCCCGAGGAGCTATGGTGACGAAGGCCCCGACGGAGTCTTCTTGATAGCCGGGATGGCTCGCCTACCCGATGCAGAGAGAGATATGAAGAAGTTGAACGCGGCTTGCGTCGAGTTCTACGTTCAGCAGTTACTGTCAAGCTGTAAGACTGGTGACTTCCGGACTTTGGGGGATCATCCGAGGCATCCGAAGCCCAAGCGAATACGACTCGACGATACAATCATGTGCGTCGAAGCGGGTACTCCATCTATGAGAGTCGGCAAAGTCTGCGAGTTCAGAGAGAACTTTTTGAAGAGGCGTCCTCCTTCGAGTATCTTTACCCCGAGATACATGTTTGGTTTCTGCGACGAGTCGCTGCCGAGGAGTGATAGTGTCATGACACTGTTCGGTCCGAGATTCAAAGCCGTGTACAGGCCGATCGATTATTAAGAATTTTGAGGACAACGGGTACCAGTACTCCTACTGGCCGGGTAGATTTTTCCATGGTTCATGCTCCCGGTCATTTCTCCCATTGGAGCTGTTCATGGCAGGTTTTATCGATCTCATTTCCCATCCCCGATTCTCGCACCGGGTCCGCAGATTATGATCCAATATATATGTTGAGCGAGCCCGAGTATCGTCCCGATTAATTTGAAATGGCATATGAGAGTAGAAGAATAAGAGCATAAGCATGGTCCTACATGAATTGTACATATATGGAAGCCGCCTCTGATATTCCCGAATCCCTTCGACACAATTTGTATAGAAACTATTGATCGTAGCAATAAAGCTATATCTTGCGAAACACGCTATCGTATTAATGCGGGATACGAATCACCCCTTTTACGGCCGGTTCATCCGCGCGGCCCCCGAGTAGACGAGGCTGAGCATGAGAGCATTCACATGAGACTGTAGGAGGGCCGCGTCCGCTCGAGCCGCCCGTCTGAATCAGATCCGTGTTACGCTTTCGCATCCATTAGAGATCCGGTGTTGCTTATTCTTCCTTCTGCGATCACGTTGATCGCCTGACAAACTCCGTTGCTCTGTCAAACTCGCGCGCTGCTATTGAGCTCAGTCACCGGCGTTGTGGATTCCTCCCAGCGGAGGCTCGATAATTGAAGAAGATGCACGACGTAGACCGCAACCGTCTGTCGATCTTTTTCGAGGCCGCGAAAGCCGTCTGTTGATAATATCGGGTGCTAAGACCCTTGGGCTGCGATGAGACGACTCTACGGTTTCCTTGAGCTCTTCGACGGAATTCCGATCGAGAGACGGCGGCCTCGTGTCATCGTCTCCCGATTCCAGGCAGAAAAGGTCCTTGGCGTCAATGACAGCTGGTCTCACGAAATCCTGAAGGAAAAACGGTACAATCGACACGGTTTCCCCCTTGATTCCCTTAGAAACGGGGGAAGAATCCTCACCGCGAGATAGCGACCGATGCACCCAAGGCGTTCCAGCTCCCCTGCTACCATGTTCCGGTCTCTGCTCTGCGTTCCTATGTAGAGAAGTAGTAGAAGCGGGCTCTGGAGCGGGACGAATTCTCCGAAATCAGCGAAATCAGCAACCTCTCAAGGAGCCATGGAGACCTCAGGCTCCATCGAAATCGGAGCCCTGGTTCGCGGCTCCTGTCTCGAACAGACCGTATATGACGTCATGAGTGTCAGGGAACATACGACGGAGCTCCCGATAAGATCACTGGACCCATACCTGTATCAATGTGACGAGAAGAAGGATTAGGAATGTCATCTTCCGACCGATAGCCAGCCTCGGTATTCGGAGCGCACCACTTTGAGATCCCGAGATGAATGATGACCAGAAGCAGAATTCCCGCGATGACTCCAGATCGCGTCTGTCCCCAGCTGAGAGACTCGATCAAACGAAACAATCGCGGTCGCGATGTTCTGGCATCCGACGTAGATGCCCGCTCGCGATTGTTTCTGCTGTAATGGAGGCCGTCATCGCCGCCCTTGCAGCCTCGCGCGATCCTCCCCGAGGAGACGCTGACGCCTGAGATGGGAAGACGAGCTTCCCGACATGACGTATTTCCGGGCCTATGGGGACCAGTGGCGAATCCAGGAATCCTCCGAGGGGGGCATTCAGGTCGCCCCGCTCCCCTGGATCCGCCACTGATGGAGACTTCGTCACTGAGTCCCAAGCCAGCTTAAGCAAAGGGGTGTTTTCATGTGAGAATCGAGAAGCTCCGAGCTTTCTCTGGAAATTGAGAGTTGTCAGTGGAGTGACCATCCGGACTCTCTCGATCAGAGGCAGGCCGTGCCTCCGTGATACCCGAGCGGACGGGCTGAATTTATTCTTAGAGTCTTTTCGTGCCCGCCGATTTTCGATCTTAATCCCCCAGAAATCTGATGCAGCTGAAAACCGGCGGGGCGCCTCCGGAGGATTCCCCCGTCCTCATTGCTTTGGGTCTTTAGGGAAGACAGTCTCAGAAAATTCGAAAATGGCGCCCCTGGCCAGCGGATGACGACCTCCTCTCTGCCGCTCGGGTGGTTTCGTTTTCATAAATTCGCGGAACAGTGCTCGGCGATTTTCACTTCGCGAAGTGCCGGAAAAGAGAGCATCTCTACCGCCATGGTGGATTACAGCAAGTGGAAGAAAATCGAGGTAAGAAGCAGAACTGCGTCTGTCCGATGCCTCCTCGCGGGGAAGCTCCGCCTGTTCGCTGTCAGAGAACGCTTCGGTTAGCGTTCCGCGGTCCCAGTCTCGACTGTTCTAGAAGCGCCCGGGCTACTCTCCGTAGAGGGGAGACCGCGAATTTTTTCCCTTGTCTTTGTTCCTCGAGGAGTGGAAATTTATCAACACATATCCTTCGGAGACCTCTGAGTATCGGACGGGACTGGATTTCCAATGGAAGGAGATCCCCCTCCCCAGTTTCATTGTCCAAATGTCATACCCCTACGATCATTGTTCTCCGACTCCGTGCGGAGATCGAATACTCCTCGTTGGTTTGGCTCGTCTTTGACAGCAGAGATGGAATGGGTCTCGCGAGAACTCACGTAGTACTCCCTCATACCGAGTTTTCTCTCTGGAGAATTCGGCGAGAGGTTCGTTGTTTTCAAGAGATCATCTGATTGTCGCAGGTGTCAGACGATGAGGACGAAACTCATCCGAACATCGACACCCCGTCGTTGTTCAAGTGGAGGCATGAGGCTCGTATAGAGCGCGAAGCCGAGTTCAAGAAGAAGAAACAGGACCTCTTGGACAAGGTGAAGAAAGCCGAGAAAGAAGTAGCGGAGGCCAAGAAATCCTACGAAGGCCTGACAGGTACGTACGCATTGATGGAAAATCTGGCAGACAACATCAAAGGGGTTGAGTTCAGATGTCTTCAGCCCCGTAGTGATGAGTATGAGGCGCTCTAAGATTGAATATCCCTTCCAGGGAAGGAGCTGGACGCTGCGAAGAAAAACGCTTTGAAAGTCGAGAAGAAGCTTAAAGCCCTCAATGAGGAGAAAGCGGCGCTCGAGAAAGAAGAGCGACTGATGCCTCTGAATGTTGACAATCTATCGAAGGACGGATTCCAGAGGACCTATCTCAACGAGTCGAAACCGAGGGACACGTCGATGGATAACCTGAGCGAGGAGGAGAAGGAAAAACTCCAAAGAGTGAGTGATACATGATGTCGGGCGAGCTTCCCCCCATCGCTCCCGATGATCCCATCTTGGCTTTAGTCCGTGGGTCAGACTTAAGATAGCGATCTGCCATCCTTACCAAAACTTCCGCTGGATCGGCCTCGCGATAAGCAGTCAATGTAAACCCGACTCTGGTGACAAAAGGTTTTCCCCCGACTTCCTGATTAGTTCTTGTCTCCGGAGTCATCTGGCGGGGAATTTATCTTCTGATCAATCTCCTCCGAGCCGTCCTGACACGTAATGCTGTCGGCTCGTGACTAGTGATGATATCCTCTCATTACGCCGTGGAGAAATAATAGCTCCGAGCTCCCTTTCATTCCTGACGAGAGAGCTCCGTTTATGAAGCATCATTGTTTTTCAGGAATTTCTGAACAAATACGAGAAGGACATAAAAGCCTTTGGCATGCTCCAAAAGTTCGATGATTCCCGACGATACCTCCAAGAGCGTCCTCACTTGGTTTGCAACTTCACAAACAATTATCTCATCATTTGGTAAGTTGGCACCTTCTCCGCGTTCAGATTGCGCGTCTGTACAAAGTACTGCATTCAGGAGTGGAGGCTCGCGCATGGTTGTGGAATTTCCTAATCGACTTGTCTTCGCGCAGGTGCTTGAACCTGGAAATGGAGGAGAAGCACGACCTGGCCGCCCATGTTGCCCATCAGTCGACCTGCATGAATTACATTCTGGAGCTAGCCAAACAGCTGGATGTTGATCCTCGTAGTTGCGTCAGCTCTTTCTTCAACCGAATTCAGACCGCGGATAAGGTCAGATCCTGAGAAAAAAATAGACCGCAGAATAATCAGGGATGCAAACTTGAGGCAGCCCGTGGAGAGCACTCTGAGCACAGCTTCCCCCAATCTCCCCGAATCGTTGCGGGCGACTCATCCCACTCTACTCTCCTCCGCAGGTCTACAAGGACGCCTTCGACGACGAGTTGAAGGCTCTGATCAGCCGTGTGAAGAACAGAGCCCAGGAGAAATTGGAAGTCGCTATGAAGGAGGTTGAGGAAGAGGAACGGCAGAAAAGGCTCGGACCCGGCGGTCTCGATCCCCAAGAAGTTTTCGCGACTTTGCCAGAGGAACTTCAGAAATGTTTCGAGACCCGAGACATGGATTTATTGAAACAAGTCATCGTACGCATGGATGAGAAGGATGCCAGGTGGGTGGAATGAATTCCCCCGATTTCTATCGTGGACGAAGGGACACGTTTGTGGAGTGCTTCGTGTCTAGGGTAGAGCGGTGGAGACGTGAAGGTTCTCCGTGGGATTCCCTTGTCGGATGAGTCTCCGATCCAAGTTCCTCGAGAAATTTACTGGCGACACATCCACGAATTGCATACCGGTTTTGTGCAAGCCCCGCTTGTTTTCTCAGGTACCACATGAATCGTTGTATACAATCCGGATTGTGGGTCCCCGATGCTTCCACCCTGGCGAAGGACGAAGACGAAGAGGACGCAGAACCGGGAGAAAATACGAAGAAAAGTGGAGACGGAGCGCAAGCCGAGTCTGCCAAGTCGGCCGTCAAGGAACCGCTTGATGTGAAGAAGAAATCCGCTTCAGAGAGCAAAAAGCAGGAACCAGCGGATGGAGTCGCCAAGATTCCGACCGACAAAGATCAGAAGTCTCCAGAGGCCAAAAAAGACGAGAGCTCGAAAGTCCCAGATTCTGCGGAAGGCGACCACGAAGTTTGAGTCGTTCTAACTATTTTCCTCCATATCCACAACAGAGATCCCAAGAACGAGTCGAAAATAAAACGTTGAACTCTCCCAAGTCTACGTCTCGCACTGACCGTAGGGAAGCTGTATTCGTAGAACGATCAGTTCCGTTAGACCAGCCTATTTGTTCGCTGATATCAAAATCGCTTGGGAGTCTCCATGTACAGATCGATGTAATAATCACTGGACGAGAACGCAATTTCAATAAAGAATCTTGCAGTGTTTGAGCATAGCTGGTCGTGTTCATCGAGACCCTCCCATCGCCAGGGGCTCTCCGGAGCCAAATGAACACGTGTCGCTTTTTCATCTGATCCAATCGTAGACAAGCTGCGATCTCGACACCGAAGCCCGACTAATTCACTTCGCGTGGGAATCAAAAATTCCCTAAATTCACTTCGCGGACGGGGATCTGCGGGTCTGGCACGTATGGGGTGGAATGGGAGAACTGTTGCCTCACTAGGAGAACAATCCTGTCGTCGTTTCTTTCCCATACATGAGCGGAGTTTTGAAGAAACCCCTTCGATTCGTCAATGCCTGCCTCTCTCGTGAATAACTCCTAACCAGCGAAGGACTCTCACCCGGATAGAATCTCTAGTTCCGTGATTCGGCGATAATGAGAATTGGAATCCGCTATTTCCCGGTCGACAGGACGAAACATTCGCACAGAGTCATCCTTCGCTCCGCGTGCGCTCAGAAGGCCTACTCTTCCAGCACGGTAGACTAAATCGTCACCGAGTCGTCGGAGCTCCGACGAAGGTTCGAGCTCGTTAAGGGGATCTTGAGCGGCTCCAACGTGCAGTGTCACGCATCTACCTCGGTTTCCCGACCGACGTGTCCAATGACCGTGCGCGGAGATATGAATGTCTGCGATCCCTCGGCTGAGTCGCGCAGGCAGCCTCCGGTGTTCGTTTCTTTGCTCACTCACAAACTCATAAGTCAGACGGACAATCCTCAGGATCGCATCATTATTGCTCGCGAATGTGAAGGCTCCTGGGCAGTTTGGAAGCTTCTCCGAAGCAAAGGCCATATGCAAAACCTATTCAGAAGTGTTTCTCTCCGCTCCGGACTGTGCTGTTATCAATCGTCTTTCTGTCCAGCGAGCTGACAGCGGCTGAGGCACGCCGCTGTCATAGAGCACCAGCTTCGTCTTTCTCCTTGAGCTTATTCTCAAAAACATTGTTTTATCAAAGGGAGAATTATGAGCGTTCCGGGGACAATCGTCGTGGTCGTTCATTCCCGGAGATTTCCATGTTTCTCGTCTTCATGTTCAGCAATTACCAAGCATGGTGTTGGTGACCGCCGGTATCGCGGCGCCGAAGTCGAAGAAGTACACGTTCTCGTTCTGTTCTCCGCTGAGACTCATGTTCTGTCGGCCTTCCCGAATGAACTGACTCCGTCACGTCGGACGCGTGGACTAATGCTGGATCTCTCCATTCTTCTCGAAGAACACTTTTATTCAATTTTGAGTCCGCTTCCCATTTGGAGAATTATGCTCTTGGGCTGGGATAATGCGTGCTCCTGAGAATTCGTTTCAATTCCTTCGCCGGAGAGTAACGTCGCGTCGGCCACCGGCTCAGTCAGTCGCCGGAACATCCGAAGTTGCTCATGACAACCCTTATGTGCTCCGGAGAATAAAGAGCGCTCGGGTAATTGAACGATTATGCGGTCGCGCGCTGCGGGCCTGCGCGCGGAAGCAAGAGTTTACCGTAATCAAGACACTTGGGAGATCGCCAACATCACTTAGGATATCAACATCTACTTTTGGACAGCGCTCCGATGGTTTCTCGCAGATCGAGACCATTCAACTCCCTCGACGTCGCGACGGCTATTGTAACGAGTCTCTTAATTATGAATGAATCGTAATTCTCTGACTGGTATGATTAATCGCGGCGGCAACAGAGAATCCGGTTCGGATCCCGAATGCGGAAGAAATCAATGTTCTGTCCGGGGGAACAGGTGCGGACCTTCTTACGGGAGTGTGTCCAAAAAGAAATCTCGGGTGAGTCGTGAGGAATATTCTGAAGGGAGCTAACGAGATGTTTCGATCACAATGCATTTCTATCAAGTCCTATAGCGTTGATGGAAACAGCTCTGAAGCTCTTAATCGAATCGACCTTGACGTTGTGAACTCGTTTCGGTTTTTCGACTCAACCAGCAGTATGGAAGTCTTTCGTTCCGTCGAAAGTTCTCAGAAAGCTGCCGCAGGAAGGATTGTCCAATCTAACATGCCTGTCTCGCGAATCTCCTTGGGAGGCTACTGTGAAGTTTTTTGGGGAATATCGTGTCACTGAATGTAATCGACTGACTGACTGATTGATCGATCGATCGGATCTTTGATGTATCGATGTAAATATCTTGGGACGAGCTCCGTCTGATGAGGATATCGATCCTGTCGGCTCTACCGCGGCATACCGTCGCTAGCTAAGTCATGAGAGCCAGATCTCCCCGAGTAATTAGTCCGACGAATGTAGAAGTTTCCCCGGGATCGGAGACCTCATTCTATCGATCCCGCATCTGTGAATTTCCTTAGCTGTCCAAGCCTGAAACAACGCGTTGGACTCTTCACTATTACAAATAGTTCTATCAGCTCGTTCTCCTCCGGTGATTGATGAAATTCTTAGCGGTCGCAACAGATGTAGGGAGAGGGAAGACGTTCACGATTTAAAAACAGTGGAAAAGATTATTTTCTGTGTGTTGTATGTGTGTTCGTCCGATAAAGTCTCCCTGTTGGTGGTCCTCCTCCTCGATGGCATCTAAGGAACATAGCTATCGGATCACAACACGCTCGGTTCCCAGGGGCTACACGACTGTTAAAAGCCGTGTTGCCACCGAGGCAGCATAGAGCCCTGCACTTCATCCAATGTTATGCGGTGGTAGCACTTGTTGCCGGCAGGAATTCTTGTCAGAATCAAGCGAAGAAAACCGGGTTCCCTTTTTCTCTGAAAAAATCTTGAATCGTCTTTCGGGCCGTGAGCTCAGGTTCTAAAACAGTCCCGGAACTCGCCCGGGTGAATATCCAATAGGATCCGCAAGGGCAAAAAGCGTCCTCCATAAATATAGTAGCAGCCGATTTGCCATTAATGTTCGCTTGTCTATGATGGATGCCCATCTCTAGCGACTGCTTATCGCGACAAACAGCACGGCCTATGAAGAATCGGTGCTTGACGGCTAATCAATGGTGTTTAGTTATTCGAGGAAGGATATCGGGGCTCGTCGAGTGAATCTCGTGCGGTATCAGCTGCACCTACCTTCTTCTTCGATTCGTATTCATTCTATCCCCGCGTTCATGCTGATGCAGAACCGATAATGAATTGATCCGACTCGTTACCGGAAGATCGATGCGCAGCAGATACCGGAGAAAAATTTTGAGAGAGAAGAATTAATGGGGCTGCTTTGTTTAGGAGAAGAATTATCCCATTAGCGGGCATTCACGCGCATTACGAAGGGATAATGACATAAAATGGCGTGTCTAGCGAGTTTTGCATTCACTCCGGGAGCCCCCGATGCGAGCAACATCCGATTCCGGTGGTGATATTTGTTCGGGTGAATTTCAAGAATCCATCTATGTACCGTCCCGCGGGGTCTCCGCGGATAGACGTCCGTCCATCCGCCCGTCTGTTCGCACTGATCTCATAGAGATCTGCCGTTTGATTGGATGCGAGCTCACGCGAAGTAAGCTCAAGCTCGTCGTCGGCTCGGGTTCGGCCCGCATGGCTGACCGCAGGCATCTTCGATCGCTAGCTGTTGACGGGGCTCGGTCGTGATTGCGTCCACCGCCATCGAACGGAGAGTGACAGTGAAGTGAAACTATAAAAACATTACTCAATTCATTCGTAGCGAAGGCACCGTTCGCTATTGTGACAGTTCGGGACAGGAGCGGACAGGCGGACGCGAGGGTTCTGCTTTCGTCAGTAATGGAATCCGATTAGGCGGTGGCTATCGGTACATGTGGCTGACATTTGGATATTGGTGACCATTGGCATTACATAACCGCGGTCTGGTATTTGACGTTCCAGTGCTCCTTTGACATGATCTCGCAGAATACATTGCAAGACGTGAATTCTCCTCCTTCAGCAAAGTTCCTGAGCTCGAAGTCCCAATGAGCTGAGTCGACCGCAGCGATCCCGTGGGACACCCCGCGGATTCCTCGCGGAGGAGAATTCAGACTCCGGTACATTTCAGTCTTTCACCAGGTGACGGAATGTAGGCTCCAGGCGGTATTGCAACCCACACGACCAAGCATACCGGAAGTCGGGGGAAAAACGACGGATCGTGGGCAACCAGGTAGAGCAGGCGAACAACCCATTGTGTGGAGGAGGGAATCCCCACTAGAAAATGGAGAACTGGCAGTGGCTGCTGAGGACGCGGAGACTACCTTGCGGGAGGAACTGAATATCCTGACGTCGTAGAGACGAGAATGCGGAAGTACTCCCCGGAAGGCGTCAAAAGATCACGGATCGCTAATAGGGTCTCAACCCTTCGAGGACGTGACATTCTCGGCAGTCCACCATCGTCGCTCACATAGTTCGTGGTCGAGCCGTGTCCACGATTCTCCAGGAAATCGATCCCCCTAAGATGCCCTATCGCTCATTGTCTTACCGCAACCATCTGGAAAGTCTTGTGGGATTTTGAGAAAGACGTCTCAATCTCTCAGTCCGATGTTTCGGCGAGTGGCTCCCTGAGAAAACACATCCCACGCACATACCGGACACATTTGTCTCGAAGTGGTCGCTTCTAAAATAAGCTGCCCTATGGATGAACATGACAACATGTAACTTAGCTGCAGCGAAACAGGTTAATTGAGGATTCGGACCAAGTTCTGTAGGACATGAGCCGACAAATAAATAATTGCCCGGTCATTACCGAATCAATTCTCGAAGAATCGATGCGCGAGATGGCCGCTCGTCTCCAGCAAGCGAGTGGAGCAGCTGTAATGTCTTTCGAGCGTTCATTAAGATGTTCTATCAGAAGACTATGAACGTTTGTTTAACAATACCGGTATATCCAATCTCTTATCGAAGTCATGTAGGGACTTCTCGTCCGACGGGTACCATCAAGCTAAACTCTTGGTCCATCCGGATGCCGAGCGTGAGCCCGAGATCCTGATCTCTGTATTTGACCGAATGATGTGGCTCTCGCCACCGTGTCGCAGCCAATGAAGCTCTTCCCGAAGTTTCGCGAGATATTCCCCGGATCTCCGCATTCTGTCTAAATGAGCCTCATCCCCG